AGAGGAATTAAATGACTGTGCTTTGAATTATATTCTGATCGTGTAACCCAGAAGGACAATTATTTTTGATTCCTCAATCAGCACTGAAGCCTGACTTTATTTATCAGAATCTTGAGAGTAACTAATTTCTGGTTTTTAATTATTGATGGAATATTACCATCATTGTATTATTATGATATGCTGAATCCTTTGTGCATTTTTGTGGGTTATTGCCAGGGGGAGGGGAATTTTTTTTTTTTATCTTGAGGACAGATGCCTAGATAAGGTCAATATTTACAACCATATTGTTGTGTCTGTCCAGTAGTACTGTGGATTATAGAAGAGGCCAAATGTGGTGAGAACCCAAGTGACACTTGGCTGCATCTCTTGTGCCATCTTTTTGTCCTTTCCACCTTATGACATCATCTGTGATCTATTTCTGAACAGACACACAACATGTTGGAATCTGTTTGTAAACTGTACATAGATTCTGCAGGACAATCATGTGTTCATCTCTTAACTCTACCTGCCTTTCACTTAGCCTCATTTAAGAACTTTTTGTAGCTTTAATCTTATTTCGATTTGATTTCAGCCATTATTCTTTTCTGCTGGAAAGAACCTTCTCCTTAGAATGTGTAACGGTGAGGTTTTCAGTCTTAATAGAAGTATCCTAATAGCTAAGGGTATTTATTTGATTATTAATAAGTACCCAACCATGAAAAAATGCCTACCTTGAATTAGTGCCCATCCTGTAGGTAGAAAAAGTTGATAAATGTCCAGCTGTCCATTTGAAATTCTCCCCACTATCTGCTATATAATTCATGTGATACAGCTTTGAAGAATTTAATATTGGATCAACTTATAAACACCTAATTGATATATTTCTTTATTATTATCATTTGCCTGCTTGATATTGTATGGTTATTGTTAAAGAAATTCTTTCTTGATTGCTTCTGGGAGTTACAGGGTGAGTATATACAATATAAAGACTCTCCATGAATGATTAAACTTTCACTGGTAAACTTTTTTAGACTTGCTACGCCGCTTATCAACTTCCCAGAACACAGTATTTTGTGGAAGGATTCAGCTGTTCCTGGCAAGGCTGTTTCCCCTTTCTGAAAAATCAGGTGAGCAAGTAGTCATTGCGGCATGCAATGTTTTGGCCTCTGCTGTGATCTTTGATAGAAACACAGTACATCAAAATTGGCTCTCTTCATTTTTCAGTTTGAACAAAAGGTATAATAAAATTTAAAGGACATGTCAATGTATCTCAGTCAGTGGATTTAACTGTTCAGAATATTATTACATTAAGCTGTTGGTACAATGTAGGGTGGTTTTTACACATAGAGAGTTCCTTGTTACTGTAAAACTAGGGTTGATATAGATCCTGGAAAGTCATAAAATTTTAGAATTTCATTTTCCAAGCCTGGAAAGTCATGGAATTTAGGTTTGGCTCCTGGAAAATCATGGAAAGTCAGCAGGCTTTCTATCAGTGCAATAACATTTTTTGACCAAAATTGAAAAATTGATCAACAAGTTAAAAATTAAATTTCAGTAGAAATAAGCATTAGTGTGTATTGCAAGATCTACATTTATGTACAATTTTGTTTATACTGCTTTCTTGTGTGACATTTATGCAAATTTGTGTGCCACTTGAAATGAACCAATCAGTACACCTGCTTAACTAAGGTCTTGGAAATTTTTTGAAAAATCACAGAAACAGTCCTTAAAAGTCAAGGAATTTTCACAACTCAAAAATGTGCAGACCCCAAAATTTGTTTTAGAATTTGCATTTCTGCAAACATTTTCAAAACTGCAAGCCATGTACCTGGGTAAGATCAAGGATAAGTCTAAGTTGGTATATTTGATGTCCAGACTATTACTGTTGAAATTATAGGCAGGGATTCAAAGCTTTCTCCATTTTCAATGTACATGTAAATGAGTTTACAGGGTGTATATTCATTGAAGCAACTAATGTTCAACTTCTTTCTGAAGACTCTGCACATGATTTCTTTCAACCTCTTTTCAAAAACGTTTTGGATCAATGTTAATATCTGAGCAACTTTGCACCTACCCTCCCCTCCCCTCACCCAACATTAACCCTAGCTTGTTATCAGTTGACTGTTGTTGGGTTAGGGGAGGGGTAGGTTTGCAGTTGTTGTCCCACTTTTTTTCCAAAATTTTTGTTGTCAAACTTGACATGTTGCTTATCTGCAGGTGCAGCCTATCTGCGAGTGTTTATGGTAACTTCTTAGAGAGTAATATTCAAGTCTTTTATTTTTGCTCTTCTCTCTACTTCAGGTCTGAATTTAATGAGTCAGTTTAATTATGAAAACACCACAACATATACAAAACAAACAACTGCTGAACTGAAGGTAATTGTGATGTAATTGATAAAATTAACCCTTTGACTCCCATGAGTGACCAAGACAGAATTTCTCCTTACAATATCTGTTCAATATCAACCAGATACAGGGGGTGTTAGTGATGAGAATAAAGGAAAATATCAATTTGGGAATAATTAGTTGATCCAATACTAAATTCTCTGAACTAACATTAGAAGAATTGTATGGTTGACAGTAAGGAGAATAACAAATTTGATCTGGGTTAGGCAATAATTAGGTCATGAGTGTTACATTGTTTTGTTGTCAGACACGGTACTGCACAGCTCAGCTGCAGCACATAATTAAAGTAAATTCTGTACCCAGGCTGAGTTGCCCCATTCTGGCCTTTTGTTGATTTTTTCAGCATTACTGACTAGGAGCCCACACAGAGACAGTTGTAGAGATTCAAATTCATCACACAGGGTTGTCATTAGAAGATAAAGATATTACAATTTAATTAGAATGTTGTACTTTCTTAGATAGCTTTTGTTTTCTGTAATTACATGTAGCAATTGATTTATTTTGGTATTATTAATTGTAGGACAAAGTTATTGGAAGTGAAATGGAAGTAGATGGCCAGGAAGCTGGGGAATTAACAACAAGGTAGAATGTGGAGCAAATTTGACAATTTCCTGAAAATATCCACACTTTGCATTTACACTGTCAGTTCTGTGGATAGTGTTGGAGGTCTGAGGACTCATCTTTGAATCTGATGTGTTACTTGACTTGGCTTTGAAAAATATTCTTTGGTTTTTTTCAAGACAACAGTCAATGTAAAAAATTTGAAGCTGCACACTATTAATGGAAAATAATACTGACAATAAACTGATATCAGCTCTGGAAAAAATGAAATGAAAATAAAAGGTCCACCCCCATAGACACTTCTTCACTTCTACACCTCTATGCTTGGTTACATGTACATGTAGTTTTATTAAAGCAGTGTTAGTAATAGTGTAGTCTAGCATTTTTTAAGGTTATTTACAAATTGAATTTATTCCACAGTACTGTCCCAATTGACTTCAACCTGTATAAGAAATTTTGGGCATTACAAGATTATTTCCGTAATCCCACTCAGTGTTACACCACTTTGGCCTGGAAAACATTCACACAGGTGAGTAAACCCTTCAACTCCTAGATCAAACTCGTAATTCTCCTTACTGTCAACCATACAATTCTTACATATAATGTTAGTTCTGATAATTTGGTATTGGATCGCATAATTATCCCCAAATTGATACTTTTCTTTATTCTCATCACTTATCTGGTTGAAATTGTATTGATATTGTAAGGAGAAATTCTGTCTTGGTCACTCATGGGAGTTAAAGTGTTAAGTCTTGTTTCAGAGTAAACAAATTTTTTTTTCTATACTGAACATGTCTTCAAAAAATATGGTTTTTAACACATACACTAAAATTAAATGACTCTATGGTTGAAGTTGTTGCAGGGTACTTGGTTACATTGCCCTGGTGCTTGTGTTGGAGATTTTCATCAACCCAAAAAGAACCTCAAACTGCTTTATTTCCTGCTTATGAAATAAAGGATTTCTGATGAATAAAGAATTAATTGTTTCTCTTAGGGTATAGAATGTAGATTCAGGCTATCAGTGTATGTCAAGACTTGTTTACTGTAACACTTTTTTTGCTTCTAGTATACAAAAGAAGTTCTAAATGTGTTTAGAAGTGTCAAGTTGGAACATGTTACATGGAAAAAGAAAGCAAAGGAATTTAAAGATCTCCAGGGAAGGTACTGTTGGAGAGCTGACTACAATATTAAAACTATCCATCTTAGATTTGTGAACACAACAGAAGCATGTACAAGCACAGACATACAACTCTGCCAAACAATTGTATTCATAGTTACATTTAAGGCAAGAAAATAAAAGTTTATTTAAATTCGTGATTGAAGGATAAGAGAGACTGAGAGAGAAATCTGCCTACAGCATATCCCAGTTTCTTATGTGAAAACCATAGAGGACTGTTGCTGCTCCCCCTGGATGGAATGCTAGTATATCTCATGTTTTCCTTCTTCTTGATCCCCAGTATTTTTCACATTTCTGTTACAATTTCCTGGGGCATTAGTAAGGCTCCAGATGTCAATGAACTTAAGTTAGCTGCTGAAAACATTGGGTCAATTTCAGCAAAAATGGATGTTGAGAGCCACATCACATGTTGTTTTTAAAATTGTAAATTAAAGAAAAGGCTCTGAAAAGGTGGTTAGTTTCCAAAGAATTTACTGGTAGCTTGTGTGATAAAGGGCTGATGCTTGCAACATCTGCTATTGAGAATTGGTTGTGGCAGTTAATCTACCTTGATATTTTACCAATGCATTGTTGAAAGAGGTGCTAAAATTTAGACAACAATGTCATTCTTTTTTTAGATAAATTTGGTACATCTTGCCGTTGTTTTAATATCTCTCATATTGTATGCTCATTCATGAACGTGACTGTAAGAAAACTTTTTTTTTTTTTTTCATCAGTGACAGCAAAGATCTGGCTCGCTATTTTGCCAAGTTTCTTACTAACGAGAAGGTAATTTCAACAATTGAATTACTTGTGAGTGTCTGCATATGAATTTTGTAACATTGTCAGCAAGAATCTGACACTTTTTTTCTCTATCTTTTTGCTGTGTGAATAAAGCTCCTTGATCTTCAACTAAGTGACAGTAACTTCAGGAGAACTGTAAGTGAATCATTGTTAATACAATTTATGCAAAATTGAAAATGTCTAAGGGGCTTCAGAAAGAGCTTCCAGAGGCTCATACGGTGGAGTTTTATGTTGACATATTCCAGTACTGGAAAGTCGTGGGAAAAGATTACAGGTCCCAGAAAGTCCCTAGAAATCTGTTTAACTCAAGCAATAGAGTTTTCTGAATTTACGTTATGAGAAATGTAAGTAGACCGTATGGAGAATTGATTGTAAAATCTTGGAAATAAAAGAGTTTAAGGTAAAATCTGGAGTTCTGGAAAAATCAATCAGAGTCTTAGAAAACTCCTCGCAATTTTTTTTCTGAAAAGGGCACGAACCCTCCCTTATTTTACTTCCATTTTTTTGGAGATTGTTGTGCATCATTTAACTGTATACATCATTACAAAGTTAATATGTCAAATCCGATTTAGTCATACACAATATTGCTTCCTTTTTTTTCAGATCCTTGTACAAATGTTAATAATATATCAGTACCTTGCTGGTAATGTCAAGTTTAAAAGGTGAGTTATTTTTCTTAATTTCTTACTCATTTATTTGTCCTCTTTAATTTCTCTGTTTTCTTAGTAAAGACTTTCATATCTTTTTTCTGAGTTACCCCTGGATGGGTATAATCAGGAGACTTCCATTTTTTCCATGCTTGCAATGTACATATTAAATTGAGGTATAACACAGCGGTGTGTTTCCATACTGAGATGAAATTCAGATCCATTCAGACCACAGCAAACAAGGACACTAAATCCCTTTGATAATGGTCCAACTGCACATAAAATTTGAAATAAAGAAGAAATTGTTGAACGTTATGAAAGGTACGGCGTATAATCAAAACTATAACAGAATTCTCGAACGTGATTGGTTATAACCAGTCCAATTTGAGCACCAATAGGACAGTGTACGCATCATGTTTGTCGTCCAATTCTGTCTGAAATCATACACGTGATAAACAAATCGGACTCCCGTTTCGCGGTCGTCCGATTATGATTTCAGACCGAGTTGGACTCCACTCGATCCTATTACCATTATAAATCACTGCGCTGAATGACATTTCATTTTAAATTCTAATTTGACCTGAAAATAGAGGACAAATGCCATTCTCGTTATTATTCCCATTACAGTAGTTGCTTACTCGAAAGACTTTTGACTTTATTTCTGGTTAATTTGTGTTTCATTATTCAGCACAAACCAAGTCCTGAGTGAGTCTCAATCCACGTGGATCAAAGATGCAACATCTCAAGTATATGAAGTAAGGCTTTCTTTCTTAACATCTCTTATGTAGGAACGTTGCCAACTTAAGTTTGAATACGAATAAGTTAAAATTGCTCTGAACTGCATGAAGAGACCTTTCTGAAAATGTTTCCATTAAGATGTATTTGTTTTGCTTTTTGCAGTTGTTGAGAGAAACACCACCTGATGGCGATAAATTTGCGAAAACTGTTGAGGTTTGTGTTACATTCCACTTGGATGTAGTTGTGCAACCAAAACCTTTTCTGATGAGTTGCTATTGCTGTTTGATTTACGAGGTTGAGAACATGTGAAAGTGATCGAAGATTTGCCGTTAAATAATCGGGGGGGGGGGGGGAAGAGAAGGTAAGGTTTACGTGATTTTGCCGTTTGGCGAGTACAAAAATTGAGACGGTTCAGTGGCCGGAATTACAAATGAAAAACTTGGAAACTTAAGTTTAAAATTTGGCCTGAGTGTGAGTGTGATTCTTCATTTCTACAAACTTGAGCACTTCATGAAGTAACAAAATTAGGTCGCCAATCAGAGCGAAGGAAAATATCACAACCAATCAGAACTCGAAGCAAAAGCAAGCAAATTGCTCAAAGCGCGGGAAAAAGTGGGTGGACTAGTCGCGACTGGTTTTAGTTTTGAATTTGATTGGTTTAGAGAGTGGCGCGAGCTCTCTCAGCCAATCAGAGAGCAAAGTGAAGGTTTACTTTCACCTTTATCACCTTTGTCTCAGTGATATGGCAAATACATTTACAAATTTAGGATTCCGTTGCCCGTTACAAAACCGCTGGTTTTTGGGTTTTAGAGATATCGTTTCAGAAGCATTCAGGGAAGCACGTATAAATTCTGAACAATTTTTTTTTTTTAAAACACAGCATATCCTAGAAAGAGAAGAAAACTGGATATCATGGAAGAACGAAGGATGTCCAAGTTTCATTAAAGACAGGTAGCTTTTAAAGATAGTTATGTCATGCCAAAAGTGGCTGCCCTGTGTCAGTCATAACTAACTTTATTTTCGTCATAGACAAACTGTTTCGGACGACTTCTCTCTCTGGACGCATCCAAATTAAGTAATCACAGCTTGCAAACACTTTTTCATTCTTCAGTCAGGATGAAAACGCCGGGGGAGACGTCGATCAAGAAATCAGTTTATTATTTCGCTAATTATTGTGCTAATTCTGCGAATGGCTGGATGTGTCAAGCGTCTCTTACGGCGTTACATCTCAACTTTAGCATAGCTTATGTGAGGAGCGTTGAGTTCCAAATGGAAACTTATTTAATAATTTGCCGTCAGGGTGCGCAAAATCAGGTGATTTCACGTTGTAGGGGATTGCTAAGAAATGCTGAGCAAAGTCGTCTCAAAAACGCACGTATTGAGCTATTGTTCCGCCCATTACTTCGTCAAGGCAATACATCAGGTTAGCATTAAGGCAATAAATCAGTTTGCACGAATCAGACTTGCAACACTCGACTGACGGACAATTCCTTAATTGACACAACAACCAGGGTCCAGTGGACAGCGTTAACCGGGACATGGAGGTCAACTTAGTAACCGAGCCCCTGCTCACCTCCACGCACTCAACATAACACTTAGAGAAACCATAGTATGCGGAATGAATACTGTGCTGCATTGTGGGAGAGAGGAAAGGATAGAAGTATGAAAGCTAGGGATGCAGTCGAACAAGAGTGTATGGCAATACCAGGGGTTTCAATCATTTTTTCCATAAGCGGCTGCCGATGATATCGTAGGCGGCTGTGCCGTAAAGCGAAACTCAAAATAGCAGAGAGCCAGCTCGCAGGCTAAAGAGTCGGCGGAAGACGGCTGGAAACGTTTTTTTTTTAACCCCTGGGAAATACCCTTGCAAACTTGGAGCCCCCGCTCATGACCTTGCTGGAATACTGGGAATACTGCTTTGACTTGCCTTTCCTCAGCCTACATAACCACGTGCCCCTTTTAAGAATCCTGCGCAATTTTCACCCAGAAAGAGTGATCTTAGGTTGTTTGTTGTAGCGAATGCAAGAAGATTTTTTATATGAACATGTACATTTATTTGGGAATATTTTCCTTGTGATGTATCTGACATTGTAATTCATTTTCAGAAGCCAAGATGAAGTGGCACCCAAACCCACAAGGTGAAAGTAAACTTATACTCGGTCGAGTTTTCCTGGCTTGAGCGGTAGACTTAGAAGTAAAAACACAAGAATTTGTCGTGATTTACGCAATAATTCAAGCCTAATTCAGGCATTCAGCAAGCAAAACGGAGTGAAATAGTAAACGGCGCGACGAATAGTTAACGGTAGCAACAGAGCGAAAACCAGGGATGTTAAGGTTACGCGATCCGACCCAGGCCGCCCTCATTTTTCTCATCCCTTCGTTACTATCGCTGTTCGTTTTACCTACCGAATGTCTTATACAAACTACAATACAGTCGAATCCTGATAACCCGAATCTTCAAAGGAAATTGAAAAAGATACGAGTTATCGGAAGTTGAAAACAAAGGACCGGAAATGAAGGAAAAACAGTGTCTACAGTTTTTTCTTTTCATACATTATACGTATTAATCAATCAAAATTTGTTATGGAGAGAAGTTGAGTGAAGTTGAGTTAAAATGGAGCACTAAATTACTGCAGAAATCACAACGTAACGGAAATGGTTTTGGACTGCGGTACACTGTTTTGATTTGCCACGTATTGACAGACGTGGCTCGACGTTTTTGAGTTATAGAGGTTAAAAGTTGCAGAGAATGTAAGAAAGCGACAATTCGAGTGAGCGGAATGTTCGAGTTATCGAGGGTAAAACTGCAGTAGATCAATGATGGAAATGGGGGGAAATCGATTTTGGTTCGAGTTAGCGCGAGGTTCGAGTTAGCGAGTGATAAAGTTACTAAGATTCGATTCTAGTTCCAAAAATCTCCCCTGAGTCTGACTACTTTTTCTTCTCTCAGATTTTCTTTTTCGCCAAGAACGTCCTTGGTATTCTTAGATAAATTTCTATTATAGAAAATGGAATTATCAGAAAGGGGTACAACTTAATAATTTATAAATAGTTTGACAAATTTTACTTGACAATGTTCCCATGATTTCTGAACAGAAAGCGTAAAGTCAGTCTTGGGGAAGAGATGGCCTCAGGTTGGAAATCCAAAAAAGTGCTCATGGGAAGGTAAAGTGTACTTGTAAAACTGGTTATGATGGGATTATCTGTTTAATCCTTTTATCCTTATTAAAGAGTGACTGGCATCTGACATCTCCTTACAATATCACCCTTGAAGAAAGAAGAATTTGCTTTGGATCTTGGTGCGACTCCATGCAAAAGAGAAGCAATCACAGATCATTCAGACAAGAATGAAGGAAATAAGCACCAACTAAAGAAATTCTTGATTTTTTAACAAGCTCTCCTTGTCAGCAGCTTGGGAAATGTGTAGTACAGAGAATATTCTTATTAATATTAGAGTATAAAGTGTTGAAGGAGTATACCATAGAAACCGATCAATTTTCATACATCCTGTTTAAAGTATGTAGGAAAAATTCTAATTGGAAAGTAGTCGTTCGACTGTCGACAGATGTATCGATCGAGAGCTACTTCGGCAAGTCACCGATACTTCACCGAGTATTGGTCGACTATCTAACGAAGGAAACTGCGCAAACTCACTTCTCATCATATTTTTTTCCTTGTTGCAGCAATGAGTTGACTCGTCTTTGGAATTTATGCCCGGACAATTTGGAGGCTTGCAAAGCCGATAACAGGTAACAGAGCATGAAACACATGTGCCGAGAAGCTGTTGTCGTGCCAGAGATATCTTAGCATATTTTCAAGCTGAAAGAGGCTTCTGTTTTATTTCAAATATTTGACCTGTTTTCTCATAAACTTTCAGAGTTTTTCTCCCAACTCTTGAGGAATATTTTTCGGAGGCCATAGAGCAAGCTGATCCAGCCGCTATGGTGGAAGAGGAGTACAAGTATGGATGTCTTTTGAAATTTTCACGCAGATATGTTTTCACTGCATTTAATTCAGCTGGTAATTTCATTACCAAGCTCAAAATTTCCCATCCTTCTCAACCCTGTGACCCCTAAGAGTGACTAACATCTAATTTCTCCTTACAATATCTCCTATTAATCCCGCATTAAGGTTTCGAGAATAAAAGAAATGATCACCAACTAAAGGAGATCTTGATTGTTAAACAAATTCTCCTTGTCAGCGCCCTTGGAAATGTATAGAGAACAGTATGAAGAATATGTATTTGGATGTTAGGGTGTAAAGGGTGAATCATAAATTGCCAAACGCATCAAGGGATCCTAAGAAATTTTGGGAAGCGTTGCGGGAATCATAGTTGTGTCTTGTACTGTTGGTGGGTAATGAAGTAGGACTGTTTCCTTACTCTTAATCAAGAGTACTTTCTTTCTCTTGCAGGGTTACAAAAAACAGTAACTTTGGTTGGCGAGGTAGGTTTCCTTCTCCAAACAGAGCAATTTTCAATTGAGTGTCGAAAGTAATCTGGGATTGCATTGGTTTTGCTTTACTTCGCTTTGTGATTGGTCCAGAAAACTCGCGTCATCCTATCGACCAGTCAGACGCAATCATGACTTGGTCGCCCGCGTTTTCCCGCGTTTTGGGCGGTTGGGTTCTTTGTGTTCTCATTGGCTCTTAGATGTATTTTCCTTCTGATTGGTTGTTGTGATTATTTTGGTTTTGGTTTATTGAAACTCAATCGAAAAGCGCTCTATTTCGACAAATTTGATGTTATGACCACCGATTTTTAAAATATTTTGCGGGGCATGATTAAGTCACTCCTCCATTAGTCCTTCCACTCTCAGGATCTCATAAGTAATTCTCCTTACTTTCTGCCATACAATATTAAGAATTATCGTTAATTATGTTCCACTTGTAGCATTGCGTCTCCTCGCTCGTAGAAGCCATCACTTTTTCCAGCCAAGCACCAACCCGTTCAAAACGCTTCCAGACTACCTTGAAAGTGTTGTACAACAACTTGCGCAAGAATTACCGGTAAGACGTCTAACTTCTGTTTGGTTTGTACTACTTCTAGACCCGGTTTTTTTTTCTCTTAGCTTGTCGCATGAAAGATGTAAGTCGTATTTAGCGTTTTAACAAATTTGACCGACACACTTTTTTTTCGTCAATCACTCACACGAAATAAAATCCAAACTTAGCTTCTTTTATTCATTAGCTTATTTTAATCATTTACAGAACTTAAAGACTGAGGAAGGCATCGTGGTTAATGGTAAGTGTCACATTAAACTAAAAGCGAAGATGATTTTGTTTTTCTTCATATTCTTCTGTTGCAAAATATTCATTTTAAAAGATGATCTTCATTGCTTGTTTATTTCGCAAATGCATCCATATTTAAAGGGGTAGTGTACGAGAGAGAGAATGGACAAAATTGACGAATGGGGCACTTGTCGATTTTTCTTCCATCGTTACGCTGTTTTTACGTCCGCGATAAGAAATGCCGTTTTTGAGCACCAAATCATAGCGGTAAAAGCCGTCCTTTGCACGACAGAGAATTTATGTTACAACAGCGGATGTTGTAGGAATTAGAGGCTTACTGGGTTGTTCCAATGCTCAAAAGGTACCTCCAATCACTTGAATGTTCCCTTGTCTTATAATTGGCACGGATAACCTGAAGTATATAGAAGAGCGGGCTACTCTCCTTCAAAAAGTCATTTTTGGAAACCCACAGAACTGCAAGATGTGTCTTTACTCGCTTGTTAACGGATTGAATTCATTGCAGGAACCTCGGACTCAGCCGTGCCTATCACGTGATGGCACCAAAAGCAAGTCACTGGCTTGTGTCAAGTGAAGACAGCATCACATCCGCAAGATATTATATCCATTTAATTCTCTCTTAATTGTAATTAAAGCTGTTTGCAAGACCAGACAACAGTTTCAGTAACTTGACTTCACTAATTTCGTCGACTGAAATATCCGCATTGATGTCGACGTAAGGGTAACGCAGTCTAACTCTGGGTGCCCTGTTTTACTGGATGGAAGCGAGTTAGGGAGCTTGCAGGCTCTACCCTCAAGTCTTCCTTCCCAGGCCCTGACTGCTTTGTAATCGTTCGCATTTCCGCTTGTCTCCAAGGATCGAGTTCCTTGCACGATTTTGCGTCGTCAGAATTCCTGTCTTTTTTCGACGCGTTCTCGTATAATCATGTGTCTAAGGTTTCAAAAGCGGAAAGCGGAAAGCGGAACTTTTGTATTAAAATATGCTGTTGGGTTTTCAAAGAGAAAACGAGTGATATCTTTACGTGGGTGTTTCTTCTGTATGACAGATAAAGTTGACTGGTTCCTCCAATCAGGCAAATACTTACACCTAATTTATATCCCATGTCGCCACTTAAGATCATATTTCATCAAGAGTCATTTAGTATGCTTGCTTGAGGATAAGCCATCATTTATCGCCTTTGGGGGTGGGGGAGGGCGGATGATTTTGGGGGGAAAAACGGTTTTCAGGGGGTATGGAGGGCGACCAGTCGTCGCCAGTAGTGTATAATGGGGGAACTATAAAAAGTTGACTGTTAGTGAGGGGTGGGGGTGGGGTTATGGTAATGAAGCAGAGCCTTATGGGGGAATCAGGTAGATTTCATCATGACACTGACATCTAAAATCCTCCAATACGTACGGCGGTAAATAATGAGGGAACTTTTCGAAAACAACTTCACTCCAAACATGAAAACATAGGCTATCCTCAGCAGTTTCTAGAACTTTTTTCCTCACACACTTTATGCAACCTCACTCAAACGCATTTTTACATCAGGCAGGTTAGTTGCTTTCCCTTGCCACGGAGCGGATAAAACTGCGAAACAAATTGAAAATGAAATAAATCGAGGTTATTGATGGTGGCGGCCACTAATTTAGGATCGCTTTGCCGGCGCAAATGTCCGTGCATGACACTTTGCGGTTATAACCGAATATTTCACTATTTTATTTTGATCTTCGCATATTTGAATCAGGTTCAATTAGTTTTATGACGGTAAAATTTTGTCAATGTGACTTGAAAGTTCCGTCGTTAATTCGATAGTGTCGAAGATTTTCCTCTCAATTTGAATCAGATACGTGACTCTTACGTCAATGGAATTAGATTTGCCGTTGTGGACGCTGTCTTTCAAGACTGCGAGGGAATAAAGTGTCTATTGCGGAAATATTAGTTAGTTGTGATTCTAAACTGAGTGCTTTTCGTTTCGAACTCCGCTTTCCAATTAAATAATCTCAAATCCATTGAAATTGGAAGGTAATTTAATGTGCCGCAAAGTTATTTCGAATCATTCTCCTATCCGAGAATCAATAATTTTTGTTATTTACCCGAGAAATCCTTTTTAAAATACTGCTCTAAACTGTCAATCGCAGCATTCTCCAGTTTTCCCTGGAGGCGGCATTTCTGATGGCTTTAATCTTATCGTGCAATCTAACGAAGAAACGGCAGTAATTTTAATTTTTAATCACTTGAAATGTCTTAGAAAGACCGCCCCGGACATCGCTAACTCGGTATTTCAGTCATTAGTAAGTTGCTTTTCCCGCAGTCGCACGATTTAATTATACTTTACTTTAGAGCCAGCCATACACTCTTGAATTGTTTCCGTTTAAATCGAGTATATGCTTGTTATTTTCGGTCTAGATTGGTCAAGTTACATAGAACTGAACCCGCTCCTTCATCTGGGTTGAATTTGCCGACAAAAGGATGGCATGATCACATTGGAGAAACTTGAGAGCTGAGAAACGATAAACCACGAATTTCATTGTTTGCATCACTTATTTACGGAACGTTTTATCGTATTGTTATCCTTCATCGAAGAATTCTGATGTGTGCAATAACTGCGATGTCTTTGGTGCTAAGTGAGCGTGGCATGAAATTATCCGTGTTCCGTGATCCGTGATAAAAGCGTGATAAGCGTACCCTTTACGTGATGAACTTTGGAGTTTTCGGAATAGCTTTGGCGTCCTTCTTATTTTTGGCACCAGGTCTCATCTTTTTAAATGTTGGATTTCGCTGCTCAAAGCTGTTTACGGCGAAAGCAGAAATAATGTCGAAGTCGTACTGTATGAAAGTAGACGAAGAATTTTCTTACGTTTTGATAGGCGGTGGCTTTATTTTCCTGTTTTTCTCTCTGGCTACAATGGTTTTCACGGTGATTGTATTTTTAAACTCGAGGCACTCGAAAAACGTTGAAGAGGAGACAGGCTCAACCGCGGAAACATATATCGTTTAAAATGCTGACTGAGTCGGATGGGAACCAGTAACCGCACGTATTGTGGCCAAATTGACAAATTGTTTATATGGCAAAACCCCAATTTTTTTATTTCATCGGCAAAGAGTTTTTAAGTTTGCGTAATCCATTTTACATTGTATCGGTCAAACATGACCGTTTTGTCACTGAACAGCAATGAGGAGAAAACTTACCGAAAGTCTCTCTTTAGAAGCGATCTGTGAGCAATTCTGTTGTCACAATATTTTGATTGCTGTTGATTTGTACTATCGATATAATGTGAATTATTTTGCATGTGGCAGTGTTTTTTAGGCCTCTGCTATCCGTGACTACACAGATAACATCAAAATTTCTCAGCGATTTTTCTAAGCTAAGCTAACGCAGCCTCGCAACTTGTGTGAAAGTAAAGATAATTTTGTTTTATTGTTATCTAAAACGATGGCTCAATTTGGTTTGTTGAATTTTGAACATCCAATTATTTTTTGAAGTAATTCTCTTATGGCTTGAAAATTTTGATTTTAACGGGTTAGGGTTAGCTTTTTTATACTACTAAATTCTTCTATAAATTAAAACGTAGTTTGTTAGAGCAATGAAAGAAGCTTCAAGTACGCTCTTTGAATAAAGTAATTTATTAACTTCAATTTTTATCAATTTTCAAGTGGATTCTGAATCATAGGTTTTTTCCGCAACTCATTCATTTAAAGTAAAAAACAATATTTTTTGTAAAATGAACTGATAAAAACAGATGTCATCTAAGATCTAAGAACAATACTCTCTTTTCGATTCTTTCTCCCTCTTTTCATACTCGGAAAGCTTTTTGAAAGCCGTATCCGGGGGAATTTTACTCAGAATAAGTGGAATTTCTGAGGGGTTTCCAATGAATCATGGGAGGGAACGAAAAAGTTCCGACAACCAACGCAGTTTACCGGTGATGACCCCCTCCCCACCCCCCGCTTTTAGAGGTCGTGGGTAAGACACATCTAAAGCTGGATCCAGAGGGGGGTGATTGGATCCATATCCCAAACCACCCCCTCTTACCTACGCGCGCTTTTAGGCCTGCGGGTATTTTTCCTACTTGTAGGAAACTTAAAATCTTTCAAAGAAATGATCGCATATCACACTACTCAAGTTGAAATATATAAATTGTACTCATTCGAATATTGTTTAGCTTCTTGAGGCTTAAGTGTGATTAAAAAAAATTGAAAAAAAAAAAGGGTTTCCTGAGTCAAAAATTCTCAGATACGGTTCTGATATCCACATTTTGACGTCACCTGTGATCTATTACTGAATTGATTGAACGGCAACGTGACATTTCCTCTATTTGTTTTATACAATAAAGAGGCAAAAAAAATTGTTAATGGTCATCTACACGTCTGGCCTCCAAAAGATTAAAGGGAAGAATCAATCCAAATTTATGCGTTACCCGGCTATTTATAGATTGGTAATTATCACTAAGAGTCTAGATTTCTGATAGAACGAAACTATTCCGCCTTTTTATCTGGCACCTTGATGTCTGCTCGTTTTGACACCTAAGATCTGTATAGTTTGAATTTCAAATCTGTCAAAATTTTGATCTTGAATGAATCGCGGCCATCAAACACCCGCCCGTTAAGCCTCAGGGGTTCTTCGAGAGACAGACAACTGAATTTTTATGATGTTTTTCCGTGAAGACCTTGCGGATGTCAAACTGGTTTTAGCTGTAAACGTCATCATTATAAGCTTTGATCAGCATGTAGCTCCAGCCCAGTGTAAAGCATGTTGTTTTCTTTTAGACTACCATTTCTTCTGAATTCCCGCGGATGTTTTATCCTCAGATTTAGTTTTCACTTCCGGCAATTTGAAGACGCAAGCTTCTCATATATCCCACCTGATACATGTTTTAAGCGAGCCGTTTTTAACACCGTCGAACCGAATTCAATCATGTTATTTAAAAAAAAAAATGCTCCTTGCCGCTATAAGCTAGCTCCTTTGTGTTAAATAAAAAATATTTAAATGAATTTTTTCTGTCATAGAAAAGCGCTTTAAAAAAAGAGACAATTTGCTTTTATGTCACTTTTGAAGTTAACTGATCTTATGCAAATTTTGTATTGTGAGCGTACCTCCTTCGCAAACACTCGTCTTTAATGAATAACTAGGAGTTGTCCAATAAGAGCTGATTCGATTTAATAACTTCTCACTAGTCGTGTATTAGAAATTAAATGCAAAAAGTCCAGCTTTTCAATTTGGAGATAAAAAGTCTAACCATATGATAGATTTAGAACGGACGATAAGAATATTTTTCGAAGAAGGAAGTTGAAAAAGCAGGGATTTGTACCTTTCTCCAGGTGTCGTCGTTACCGCTCAATCGCTTCGAAACGCTTGCATAAACACTTTATAATACATCCGTAATTTTCTCTATGCCATTAGCGCCTTACTAGAAACAAGTAAGTTGCTAAAAAAGTTGTGTCGTCATCCAGTTTGAGCAGGAAACCAAGATAATTTTCAGAGGCTAAGAGACATGTTTCGAAAGAAGGGAGATTTTCCAAACTGAGAATTGAACGTGATTGAAAGTTCTTAAGAGCTGAGATCAACTTTTCGAAAAGGAAGCGACTTCAAGGCGTTAAGATCGAACGGAAGAGGAAGAAGACATCTTAAAACATGCGATTTTGCAAGCCGAAAGTCGACTTGAGTATCTGTGGTTTGTTAATTACAACCACTCTGTTCTTCTTCCCGGGATTGATTTTTCTCGTCCTTGGATTCAGCTGTGTTGAGCAGAGTGGAAAAAACACTTCAGATAAGGAGATGACAAGTCAGTCTGGCTCTTGTGCAATGGTCGACCAAAAAACAATTATTACTTTGTTCTCGTTTGGTTTTGTGTTCTTGATTGTTGGTATTTTAGTTTGCGTCTTTGCGTTTATCGTTCACCGAGCTAATTGCAAACAGAAAAGACAAGAAGCTACTTGTTAAAGTTGTAACACGCTAAACCTTTCGGTTTTGTGTTGAAAGGAAACTGCAACCTCTTTTGTTTGGTTTGAGATCCGAACTAATTATTAATTATTCGAGCTGAAACAAAAGCGACAACTGAAGAATTCTTGAATCCGCTTCAACTTCAATCATTAAAAATATCAAGACGTGTGTTTTTATTCAAGTTTAGATGGACACGTACAATCCAAAGGCAATGGAAGTTTTCGGTTATCGAGGTCGTTTATCAGCGGAACTCGAAGGCAATTAACGAAATTTATTTTTTCATAACTTTTTCGACGTTTTAGTATACATCTGATTAAACCTTTAAGGCACCCTGGAGGGTCTCATTTGTCGAGATACATTCGCTTTGAAATGTTTCCCCATGAACTTCAGTTTTCAAGAAATATAGCATAGCAAGGTTTGATAACACTGAGAGATGAAACAAAAAGTACTGTCAAAAAAATCTAATAATGACTATAGACGAACACAGCAGTTCTAACTGACCAGTTTGTGTTCATGATTAATGAAAATGAGCAAAGCATCAATAGCATGTTGTCAGACGAATTTATGTAAATCGTACGTTATTATTTCTTGTTTCCCCCCTAAGGAAATGTTAGTCTGCATTTTATTAACCTATTGTCACAAGAAAAAAAAATCGAACAATGCCATCATAAATAAATCAGGCAATTTTTTCACCAACTGTTTAATATTGCAGCCGCAATGGCGATGGCCATTTGCTATATTTGTCGCTTTTTCCAGGCGATGAGTTGATAGAAACAGAGCGGAATGGTAAGGAGAGTCTGACTAAGGTTAACCGATAGCCCGAGAACGGCCAAAAAATTGAGTTGTTAGCCGTAAAATGGCCAAATTTTAACCGCAAGCCGTAAAAGCTATCATCCCATTCAGACCCTCAGTAAACGACGCGATAGAAGCGGCAGAGCGAAAGCGAGGAGGTTTGAGTCGGGTCGCGTGGAGAGCGCCTGTAAAATGTCTAACGCGACCCGACCCAGACCTCTCCCATTCTTTCACTTCATTGTACGTAACAAAGCGCGATAGTAAACATATACGTTTACTATCGCGCTTTGTTTTTTTTTTAACTGAACGCATGAACAGGCTATATATTTGGGGTGTAAGTAGTAAAGTGAAACGGCCTTTTGCTGAAAAAAAAAAGAGGCCTCATATAACTTTCGATCTTTTATGCTAGCGAGGGTTTCGTGACTTTTCACGCGCCGATCTAATGAATGTGTTAAATTTTCGGTTCTTTTCTTCATGGTCGCTTGGGTTTCCGAGTTGGGTTTTAGACTGCAAAAGTTTCATACGTACTGTGTGACTTACACAGCCGCTAAAATGGACCCCGTCAATGATCGATGAACGTTTGCGAGATTGGGAAAAGTCACAGTTTACACAATTTAAACAAGTCTTTTCCAAGTCGATGATATTAAATTATTGATTAGAATTCATTCTTAGAAACGAAACAATATTTTAGAGTTTGCAAAGCTCGTTTCGACATATCTCATGTCCTATTCAGTTGCAAATGATCGTTGCACAAATTGAATCAGGTTACACTTTTAAAAAAAAACAAAGTAAGATTACGGCATTCAAATTCATGAGCCATTTGAATTAACTATATCGGAAGCACCGGAAGGCAATAATGGCATTTTTAAGTAACCCAGAAAAAAAATATTGGAACCCCGATGACTCGACCCTTTCAACTCTAACCCCCGCCAACTCGATCAAGATCCGCTTACTCTTGGACTTGACCCCAGTTTTTCATTCAGTTATTATCAGTTAACTCGAACCCAGTTAACTCAAACTTATTTCACTTTACTTTGGCTCACATTTACCCTGGTAACTCGAACTTTGAATAAAAACATCAGTTGATAAACGTCAAAGTGTCAGAATATAGTTGACTGACACGTGCCAAATTTAATCACGATTGATACGAACGCCGATAACATTTGTAAAAACGTAAAACATTTAGCTAAACTTTTTAAATTAAACATTCTTATAAAAAAAAACCATATAAAACAAACTAAATGAACACCAGGATGACTGTTGATTTTGCAAGGGTGATAGTTATTTACAAAATAATTGAAATTCGACATCAATCCCTCGTTAACTCGAACCATTTCTCGTTTCCCTGGGGAGTTCGAGTTTGCGGGGGTTCCCCTGTACTTTTAAACATAATTGGACTGATAACAGTACACATAATGTAAAACAAGAATAATTAGAAAAACTGAAGAGAACGAGATAATTCCGACCGTTTAGGTGAAGTAATTAGAATCAGAATAAATGTCATTTCTTTTAGCACCTGTCAGTAGTTAGTGTGAATATTTTAATATTGGTAAGGAGAGTTTCTGAACATTTTTCTTAAGACGCTTCAAACTTTTAGCAAATCATGAAGTAGGCAAAACATGTTAGAGGAAAAAAGCTGAAAAATGTAACCAGTATATTGCAAAAACATACCACGGATAATATCGCCTAAGTATTTCTAATCCTGCGGCGACACAATAGTTTGCAGGTGATGTTATTGTTTGGGCATTCTGTAAACTACAAGATACGACATCTATACACTTCGGTATATTTTATTGCTTGTTTGAGTTTTTGCATTTTAAAGTTTAAGAGAAATTTACTCTTATTTTCTTTTCTGATAGCACACAAGTAAAAAAATCCTGGCCTTGGCTCGTTTAGTTTTAGACAAGATAGTGTTTAAAATTTTCGTTAAAGCAGCGGATCTCATTTCGTGACGCAGCTGGGTAAATCAGACGTCAATATAAATATTCCTGCTTGTCAAGAATCTCTGGTAGTACATTTAATTTGATATTGCTTCTTCAATGGAGAAGTCACAAAGGTTTTGGTGCTGCGTTAGATCAGAGGAGTGAAAACCCAGCTAATTTGAGGTATTTAAGGTCAAAGATCGGGAAATATTTTTTAAGCCCACGGGCAACAAAGTCCTTAACTAATGAAGTTGATTGCTGCGTTAGTTATATGCCTAAAAATCATCTCTTTGTTTGAAGGTAAGTGAGTTGTCATTGTTGAAATTACGCGCTGTTTTATTGTTGATGCGTTTAGAAAATGGTACATAATTAGGTAACTTAATTTTCATTCTTCCTGCTTACTGGCGAATCGTCTTGCTTTTGGTACGGAAAGAGAATGTTTCAGTGGTGGATTTTGTTGAAAAGGAGGAGAGATATGTGTTGTTGAGAACACCGCTTGTAATCCATTTTCCATGTTTTCTACGTTTTAAACATGTTTCAAAAATTTTATATCCTGATCTAGTCTTCGGGGTCAAATTTATGTTATTTTTCATTAATCTGTAATATTCTTGAATTCTTGAAGATGACAACCTGCAGGATCGAAGGCCTTGATGAGAAAAATAAGCCAAGTAGAATAACTGAAACTAGCGTTAGGTAAATAAGACTGTTAGATATTGACCTAACATAAAGAAGGAGGGCAATATCTAATCATCTAAAACGTGCAGTCATGCACATTATTGTACTCATTACATGATCAAATGATGAAATCTAAATGATCAGATCCAAACAAACCTGCAAAACTTGAGGGTTTTTTTTTTTTTTTGATTGATCGGAGAAGTACGCATACTCGATTTGCGATCCCATTTAATTAAGATGACAGGGGAGCTTTGTTCTCATTCTCTTGACCCTTTTCCTGTTAGACTCTGTCGGTTCGACGATAACTTCCTGGGAACATCGTATTCGAGCGGACCTCCTGAGGAATTATGACAGAAAAGTCCGCCCAGTGTTAAAGGGAAAAAGAGAAGCTGAGGTGTTGTTTGCGCTTAGAATCAGTCGACTTGTGAAAGTGGTATGCAAAAATGTTTTTGTTTTCCTTATCTATTTGCTTCATAAATTAAGAATTCTGCCTTAAGTTTGTCGAGAGCCGTTTTCAACCGGTTTTCTGATACAAATTTTCCTGCCAATTCTCGATCACTTGACTACTGTCGAAGAATAAGATTTTTGTCGCAAGTTCAAAGCGGGATAGTTACATTGACTGGTCCTTATCAAAATCAAATCCAAGAAGGCAAGAAAAAATCACTTTGAATTTTACTATTAGTTATTTTAGGGGAGATCACACCATTAAAACCCTCAGTCGAAGACATGCCATCAAACAATTTGTTTGATTTTAAAATGAAACACCGTACTTTGTATGGTTTAGCAGCCCCGTGACTTTAGCCAGTGGTTGGGAGAATGCGAGAAACGTATCTGAATCACTCACCTTCGGCTCGTGATTCACAAACTTCTTCTCTTTCAATCCAAGCGCGCGTAGCATCATGGGTGTTCTATAATGATTCGAGCAGAGGCTATATCCTTGCCCAGTATTTTCGCTTTATTTATGTTCTCATTTGTTTTATAACAGGATAATAAAGAACAAGTAGTGGTTTTAGACACTTGGGTCATACAGGTATGGGGACCTCTTGTCTTTGTTTGACTGTTGTTTTTTTTTTTGTTTTAATGCAAACTCTTCTGGCATTGAAACAATCACTTGGGGACTTAAAACATTCCTGATCTCGATAAGTTCCATAAGGCTCTGCAACACTCTCATGATCCCCCTCATTAGCAGTAAATTTTCGATAGTCCCTCCCCTCTCATACCATGTTGGTTACGACCAACCCCCCCTGCTTTCCCTTCTGACACCGTGTCATACCCCCCCCTCCAAAGTCCTCCTGGTCAGTTTCCATTACAAGGTAAAAACCCCAAGAAAGTGAATAAAGATATTGTCCATAAGTGTGCCCATTTACGTCGGTTTTATCTCTTGCAGAGTTGGAGAAATGAATTCCTAACGTGGAATTCAAGCAAGTACGGTGACTTACAACGCGTCCATTTCTCTCCTGAAGAAATCTGGGTCCCAGATACGGCACTTTTTAACAAGTAAGTCTAAACAACCCATTTTTCCAACTTCGTAACTTAGTCTACCAGTGGAGAGGTATGTAGGCATGCTTCACCTTTTCCTCCTGTTAGAGCCAATTCTCTTAATTAGCGCTCTACATTGCCATGTTCCCCGCGCGAATTCTGGGTAAAGGTAGGCTTTCTAGGAGTGTCTCTCTTGATGACGTCTCGAATCACGATGAGATCCAGGTTTGACAGAGTAAACTATGTCACAGCGATCACCTGGGACGCAGCCAAATACCAAATATCTAATGAGTGGCACTCATTAGGAATTTGGAATTAGGAATTTGCAATTTGTCGATGAAAAGTCATACGGATATTTTCGCCAGTACTGTAACAGATTTAAACCGCGTCCCATGACCTTGTCAATCAGAAGAAGTCAAGAAGAGTCAAGAAGTTTCGTTTTGAAAAACCTCTCAAATATGCTCCCTATCGTCCGAAAGCCCTGGATTTTTTACTTCCCCTCGGGTCTTAGGCTCGATTACCAGCCCTTGTTCGAGATATGAGCTCGCGCTGCTCCTTCTGAAGTTCCTCCTCGGGAGGATCGAAGACCCGGTTCCGAGAAAATGGTAGAAATCGAGCCTAGCCGGGTGCTTTCATAACGTTTATGGTATCTGATCTGGTTCAGAGTGATTAGAAAAGCAGCTCTCACAAATATATGTATTCCTCGTCTGCAGTGGTGATGACAAAATCAACCTTGCTGGAGGGCCAACCAAGTTTGTCACAGACGTCAGTGTGAACAATAAAGGGAAATGTGTTTGGAGTGGACCAGCTACTTTTAAGGTCAACTGTGAGATGAAAGTAGATGAATGGCCATTTGACGAACAAACTTGTGAACTAGCATTTGGTTCGTTCTCTTACGGAAAAAACCTTCTGAGACTTAAATTGTTTAAGGAAGAAAGGAGATTTACAAGTAAGATTCGTTCATTATTTCGGATCAAGGTCAGTCTCTGAACAACTTTGCACCCACCCCTCCCCTAACCCAACAGTAATCCTAACTTGATATCAGTTGATTGTAGTCAGTAGACTGTTTTTGGGATAGGGGAAGGATAGGTGCTCAGTTGCTTAGTTACTGACATTGATCCATTACCTACTTGTAATGTGAAGAGAACATGAAAAATTACCTAAATGTTTCGAAACTAGGAGAAACAGTTGATCGTGTAATCATTCACTTTGACAAAGATCAGAGCTAACGATCAATCGGCAGCTCTAGAAACTCTTCACGGTGAACAAGTCATCTTGTATTATCCCCACCGACGCAACACCAAAGTTTCTAAAGAAATTGTGATAAATATCAGTATCTGGGCAACTGCCCACCTACCCCTCCCCTAACCCAACAACAGTCACTTGTTAACAAGTTAGGGTTAATGTTGGGTTAGGGGTGGGGTAGGTGGGCGGTTGCCCAGATACTGACATTTATCCAGAAGTTTACCCCCTTCATTCTCATAATCTGATAGCCTGCAAGGCAATCGAATTCTCTTGCGAGCTAGTGTTGAAGCCGCTATATTGGATCCATTGGTAAGGTGGAGGAAAACGTAGAGCGAACAAACTAGCGAGGAGGTAGGGGGGTCGGGAAGAAACAGAGCCAAACTATCCCCCACGTAATTCCCAGTGGTTCTGTTCTCACCTCTGCATAAAGTGATGTGCCCCCCCTCACCTAAGAGTGGGTCGTTGTTGGTCCTTCCACTGCATTTTCTTTCGTAAAAAGGAATATGGAATGCCTCTCAGAAATGACTGCAGAAGTTTATGACGCCCCTCATTTTCTGGTGCACAAAAAGGTGTGACCCCTTACCCCTTGTAATGAATTACCAGTCCCTAAAAAAACTGTATCAATGATAAGGCCATCGAAGCCGGATTTGTCCTCTGACAGATCATAGATAAAAAGCATTCAAAATGCAGGTATGATTCAATATGCTAGAACGACTTAATAATAAAACATATTTTCGTTTCAGATCGCTTTGTGAAAAGTGGAGATTGGGAAATAACAAACATCACAGCTAAAATATCCGAGACTGATCACGGGAACTGTTGTCCATTTAACTTCAGCGAAGCGGTGTACACTCTGGAAATGAAACGGAAATATCTCTACTACATGTTCTACTTGTTTACTCCGACTGTTCTTCTGACGATTCTTGCACTCAGCAGCTTCCTGATCCATGTTGAAAGCGGCGAACGCATCGGTTTTGTCACAACCATCCTGTTAGCCATGACTGTGTTTCTCCTTCTAATTCCGTCTTTCCTTCCGGTTACCTCAGATGGCATCCCAATCTTGGGTATTAACCTTCAGGTTACCATGATCTTAATTGCAGCAGTCCTTTTCGCCAATATTTTTGTCCTGAGGGTTTATTTCAAGGAGGGAACGCCACCAAACTGGATGGAGAAACTCTGCAGCTTTAAAAAGGGGTCAAGAGTGAGGCGAATCCATTTGCCACAGCCAGATAGCACTTACCCTCTGGCCTTGAAATCCTCTATGACGACTGGTATCGAGGCGTCTGAATGCACAAGAACCCCAGCATTTGCACAACCGCTAGAAGTCCAGGAGTTCACGTGGCGGAGGGTGTCTGCCAGAATGGATCTCGTGTTCTTCGTACTTTTCATTATTGCTTCGTCTATCGCCTATGCCTTGACATTTAGTGGATAATTATGTCAATGTTATAACATTGCTGTTACATAAAAGTTTTAAGGAGAATGTTCTATAAACCATGTGAAGTTTTAAAAATTAATTATTAATTAATTATTTAAAATGTATACGTAAAATTACAAATCTGAAACGTTTATGAAAACACCAAGGGTAACCTGTCCTTTCGAGTTATCTTCCGAATGCCAACGTTCGAATGGAATTCAGGGTCGTCGTGCGTGTGCGGCCAGGTTACTTAGTTGCTTCAGACGCCGCCATTTTGTTAGGAGGCTTTTCGGAATCTTAATAAAAGATAAGTAACATCTGTTTGTTCGTGGTTCACCTGAAAATTTTTCATGATTGATTCTCGAACATGTCGATGAATTAATCTCTCTGCCAATTATGTCGTAGTTTCCATATTTATCCCAACAATTTTTGCTTGTTATCGTTTTTCCGTTGGAAAAAACTTCAAAGAGCAGATTGAAGTCTAAAAAGATAGCTTTCTTATCGTATCGTTATTTTCCCTTAGCACACACAAAAAAAGATTTACGTGTAAAGATAGATGACTTAAGTCTTTAAAACAAACAACAGAATCGCGAACGAGAAATGCAGCAAAAAGTTATATAAATATATAACTATAAAGTAAAATATTTTTCCCTATTTGGCTAAGAAATGGCCATGTAAAACTTTAGAACAAACTGTGTTTGACAGTGTAAATGTTACTTCTTAATAGTCATTTATAAGATTAAATGGATATTTGCGTTCTAAAGTAACATCATGCAGTTATGGATAAGAGTAAAAGATTATAGAGTTTTTCGAAATCAACACGGCCAGTCAGAGGTGAGCCAAATGACCAAAAGAGCCAATGAGAGCATTCAATGTTAAACAAGCGAACACCGCGGCAAGTGAGGTTGCTTCTGATTGGTTGAGACGGTGGTACGATTTTTCAAGACCAATCACAAAGCGAATTAAAGGAAGACCGAAACAATGCCGAATTACTTTCGAGAATCAGTTGAAAATGGCTTTAATAGTGCTGTCCGAGAGAGGAATATTTTGTATGTCTTTATGTTTGAGTTTATTTCTGATTATTTTTATAGTAACAGTTTCAGCATTCACGTATTTATTCGAAAGAAAGAAATCGAGAGTTCATGGCAACCAAAGCCTCTGTATGAACTTCGCCTCGCTACTAGAGCTTTCAAGTGTTTTTCAACTTTCATTTGATCTGCGGATAACAATCAGGCGAAGACCTGATCATTGCTAGCTGATGCGATTTTAGCATTGGCAGAAAAGAAGTCGAAACATTAATTGGTCACCGTTAAGAGTTTCCAGGCTTTCAAACTCTTAACGGTGGCCAATTTACGTTATCATCTTAGTTGTGATACCAAATTACCTTGTTATACTCTCCCACCGACACAGTATCACAGGTTCTTTAGAAACTTACGTCCATTAAGGGCTAATATCCTAATGTTTCAGTACTTTGGAAGAAACTGGTAAATCCGGATATTGGTCCGAAAACCCTTGGTGACGACAGAGCTTAATAACGTCTGCCCATATGCTAGGCTTTGGCGCAGAAAACGGATCTTGAGTCGTTTGCGTGGTTGATTTTCCATTCTGTTGCCTCGAGGCGTTGTTTCACTTGGCGCTTTTCTTTTGCAGAACAACCTCGAAAGTCTTTGTACACCCCCTTAGCATTTTCGAAAATTAGTTATCGTCTTAAAAATGACGACAACAAAATGCCTCGCTTTTAAATGCCAGCCCATTTTATCCGCGAATTTCGCTTAATTTTAAACCTCGCACGCCTCAGCCCGCGTTGTTGACGGCATACCTGTGGTATTTAGTTATTCAGCTCTGCCCTTGGTGACCTTTCGTTGAAAACGTGACTCGGCCCAGTGATGCAAATCCATTAGTGAGAGTTGTATCGACGTCATCATTGTGGATGTTTACCTACTATTTTGCAATAACCTGATGATCACACATCTCAGAATCGCAGATCACGGATCACTGACACCGTCTTACCAACATCCCAGAGAGAAAATCCGCGTAATAATTCAGGTCGTAGCAAGGCGGACAAGTTTTTAAAGCTCATCAGACAAATTTCGTGACGATGAATCAAATACTTGCATCACTAACAAGCGTAGTATTATCTTCAATGTTAACGGGTAAGTGTCTGTGTTCATTTCGATCATTCTTAAGAGCAAACACGTCATTAAATGTTTAGATATGAAGGGGTGGGAAATTTTTTTCTAATCGTACTATGATTTGAAAAACCGGCAATACTTCTTCATTTCGCGTGATCAGAGATCAATTTGTTAGTATTTATTCAGTTGTTCACTCATTACAGACTTGCATGCAAATGAGTGAAATGTGATTGCTTGTAATTTGAGGAGTAATGTGTGCTAAAATCGTGTTTGAGTCCTAATTACTGCTCACCTTAATCTGAGGATTTATTTGTGTTCGTTAAATAAAAAGGGATTCCCTACAGTGGCTTCAACTTCTATGAAGTGGGCTACAACGTGATATTTGATATAGCTAAGACTCTGTTATGCTGTCGCTAGGAACCGATTTGTTTTGAATTGTATTTGTTAATTAAGCCCCAACACCTAGGTTAAGGATTTTTAGCTCGTCACGTAGTTTTCTCACAAGGCCTTTTTTGATTGCTCTACCAGCTAGAGAACTCTCATGATCTTTTCTCGCCCCAAGTTCGTTTCTTTCCCAACTTGGGCGTTAAAAATTTAAATAACCTTTAACATGTAATCGTGTAAACTTAAACCGCCAGAGGAACAATCTACATTACAATAGGCAGAAATTTAAGTAATATAATAATTGACTTAATCGCATACTAAGAGATAAGAAATTTTAGTTTTTGGATTTCGATGGTTTTCGGTAACAAACAAAGGGAGAAAGGTCCCTTCGAATTATGGGACCATAAACCTTGTTTAACAGGAGTGTGCGTTTTGTTTCTTCTCTCCTAAATAATTTCAATGCGCCAGTAAGATTGAATCAAATCATTTCAGAATGTTACTTTTGATACAAACGATTGTTTTCAAAACAATCCAGTGTTCAGAAATGGGGCGAACAATTATTATAGTGTTTATTACAGCAGGTCCAGAAGGGTTTTCATTTAATTTCGCTCTAAGCTTTGATCCTTTCCGCAGGATTTATTCGGTGTAGTAAAAAGTTATTAGGACCCTCGGTAAATCTTCCAAATCTTTTCAAAATTGACTAAGCCTTGAGTTCGATTCCTTTAATGAACTTATTATTTTTCTCTGTTCCACGCTGGTGACAATAAGTGTTTTTTGTGTCTTGCCGCGAGCGTGGGATAAAGCAAAAATTCTGAGTTCCCATGAGAAACCTCCGTTTGGATTCTGCGCTTCCACCACTGAACCACAAAAACTTAATGGCAACCTCGGTCACTACCAGGTTCTACGTGTTTCACCTGCAGTATCTGTTGGGCTGCCTGTGGCTGCCACTGTGAGAAATATTATGGTAAAGGTTTTGGTTAGAAGAGAGCCCTGTGTGCGTGAAAAGAACTGAGAGTTATTATAATTGTCTTTCATGCGGTTAAAATGTGCGAATAAAACAGCGTTACATCACCATTTTATAGAGGGTTAGAACACTGTTTGCCTGTCTGGATTTAGTATCTTTAGGTACCACGAACAGTTCCTGGGAACATCACATTCGAGAAGATTTGCTCGAGAATTATGACCGCAAGGTCCGTCCAGTTTTGAAAGGAAAAAAAGTGGTGGAGGTCTCCTTTGCCTTGAGAGTTAGCAGATTGGTGAAAGTGGTAAGAATTAAATGGTCCTCTTACTCTATCCCAAAAATCGCGCATAATCTCTTCCTATATCCTTGAAGCAAATTGTATTTTTGAACTCGGACGATTAATTGCAAATTTACCCGAGAAATGGTAAACGAATTCACTTCAATGTTGTTGTTTATCTCGACATCCTTCACGCTATCACGTGCCACTCCGCAAAAAATATTATGAAGTGACATTATTTTGCATAAATTAGAGTGACGTCACAGAACACTATTAGTGTCAGGTTTGCGTAGACGTTCCCACGCTTCCGTTACACCTTGGGGCGGAGGGTACGGCTACACTTACAATAGTTGGATCAATATCAGTATCTGGGCAACTGCCCACTTACGCCTCCCCTAAGTTAGGGGAGGGGTAGGTGGGCAGTTGCCCAGATACTGATATTGATCCCAATAGTTTTAGTGTGTTGTTAAATTAAATGGAAAACTAGTGCAATTTCTAATAACAATTAAATACTTATTGACTGAGTGGGAGTCGTTGGGTAAATATTTTGCTCTAGGTCATGACGTCAGTGCACCTCTTTTCCTTCGAGTCAAAACAAGTTTCTAAAACGTTGGCGTACAACAATGATTTTGTTTCTTCTCGGTTCATCGAAGTCATCATTAAATATCTTTTGGGAAACTCGCGCAAGTTCGACTCCGTCACTGCAGGATTGAGGAATAAAATTAATCATGTGTTGCTGTTATTTTGCAGGATAATCAAGAACAACTCGTAGTTTTGGACACCTGGGTTATTCAGGTAACCACTAAACTGCCCTCCCTCTCACTCAACCTTAAAGTTTGATTCTTTTCGCTGTTGTAATGTGGTAGGGGCTGCAACTGATTTTACATACAGCCTCATCGTCAGGTGTTTTCCACTCGGTCAAACCTGGATCCTACTGTAAGCCGTGACATCGGGAGTGATTCTCTTAGGGCACAACCCTTTGATGACTTTTTCGTTTATATCTTTCCCAGACCTCTTGCAGATGCAGCTACAGTGAATTTTCATAGAAAATTTACGGTTTCAAGAGGGTCTCAATGATGTAATGGCTTTTATGGTTAAAGGTTAAAATTTTGGCCATTTCACGACTAATAATGAATATTTTCTGTCGTTTTTAACACGAATTTTTTTCGGTTAACTTTATTACGACTATTGGTTACAATTTGTCAATTTTTTTCGCCTAACGGGTTTATTTTATGGTCGTTTTATGGCTATCGACTAAGCCAACTGAGACATTCGATCTTTTAAAAGCGTGCTCAGTCTACGATATGCAATGCTCTGGGAAAATTTGATTATGACCTCTGCGTTTTTAAAAGTATCAGTTGATAGAGAAGAGGCTTGCCCGTTCACTCTCTTTTTTTTAAGGGGGGGGGGGGGGTTGAGGGTGGTTGGAGAGTATGGGGGAAGTTTGGAGGTAATAAGTACTTGATTGCTCAGCGTGCCCTATTTGGTTTTCCTGAAAATATTGAACGCTGGTATTTACCTGAGTGATAGAAATTTGACAGAACCATTTGGCAAATACTTTGCCAACTTTGAAATATTTCTTGTCATTTTCAGAATTGGAATAACGAATTTCTTACGTGGAATGCAAGTCAATATGATGACGTGGATCGGGTGCACTTCGATCCCAGTGAAATCTGGGTCCCGGACTTAGCCTTGTTTAACAAGTAAGTATTATTGTGAACAAATCTCAGCTTTTTTTTCAACTCTGTAAAGTTCTTGCCCAATTGATGCTTGATCTCCTTTGTGGGATTCGTGTTTTAAGACATCCTTTTTCGACTCAACAGAGTAAAGGAGTTTCCTGAACGTTTTGAGTCTCAATCGTGACCTCTTCTGATATAATTTGCTGAATCCACGAAACATTCGGGCAATTGAAATAAGAGCTTCTTGTTTAAAATCTTAAGGATATTTTTCGTGTGGGTTAGGTTTTTAGGTTTTTGTTTTTTGAACACTTAACTGGAAAAATAAACATGACTATTGCGGTCAGCGGTTATTGCTTACCACAATATCGGAAAAAATTCGGGAAAGACAAATTGTGGAAATAAAGAGCTTATTTTTCTTGCAACTGCAATGAAGGAGGATAGAGGGAGGCGACTCAAGATGCAGTTGGCATTAAATAACCTCGCTGAAAGGAGGAGACGAGTTTTGAATTCGGCTTGCCTTCAATTATTGCTCATTTCCCAAAGGAACATCACCGTTCCTCGGCGCACACAACTTGTTTTGCAACAAAGTGGCGGGAAGAGCGGGAAATATACGTTCCTCTTGCTTCAAGCGCACGAAATATACATGCTTGAGGTGTGTGAACTACTTCTGTATGCCGCCAGCCAGTATTTCTTTTTTAGCCGGCGGCAAGTACGAACTGGACGAGAAATTTTGGTAAGCAATAACCGCTGACCGCAGAGAGTCATGTTCACTTTTCCAATTAAGTTTGACTTCATTAGGTTCGACGTTTGAATCAACTGCCGAACTTAATTATTTAGATCGACTCAAATTGGTGTTGGGTTCGGCATATGTAAAGTTCGACGTTTGAACCGGACCTAATTTCTTCCTACAATATCATCCCTGAATCACACATCAAGGTCACGAGATTTAAGAAAATAATCACCAGCTAAATAAGTTCTTGATTATTGAACAAATTCTTCTTGTCAGAGCTTTAGAAAATGTATAGAGAACAGCATGGAGAATACGCATACTGATGTTGGGATGTGAAGGGTTAACATCGTCTCTCGTTTATATTTAGTGGCGATGATAGAATCAACTTGGCTGGGGGAACTAGTAAGTTCGTCACCGATGTCGCTGTGGATAGCAAAGGAAGATGTGTTTGGAGCGGACCAGCTACATTTAAAGTGAACTGCGAGATGAGGATTAATGACTGGCCTTTTGACGAACAAACTTGTCAACTGGCATTTGGTTCGTACACATATGGAAAGAACCTGTTGAAGATTAGACTTTTCAAGGACAATAGACAGTTTTCAAGTAAGGAGTTACCTGGTTTAAGTATCACTTTTTTTCTCTGGTGCTGGCCGGTGTTGCTCATGGGCGAGGCAAAAGATTATCTTTACCAAGCCCCCTCTTCAATAAACGCTCCTTGCTAATAAGGTTCCCTCTCCTCAGTCAAAAGAACCTCTTTCATAAGCGAACCCTCCTCTCTTAACCCTTTAACTCCCAAGATCTCATTAATAATTCTCCTTACTGTCTGCTATACAGTTCTTGTGATGATAGTTTGGAGAATTTGGTATTGGATCAACTTATAATCCCCTAATTGATATTTTTCTTATTTTCATCACTTGTCTGCTTGATATTGTATTGATAATGTACAAAGAAATTCTTTCTTGGTCACTTATGGGAGTTAAAGGGTTAAAGCCCCTCTCAAATAAGCCCTCCCTCGTAGCAAGACCCTCAGAGAAGCCCCTTATCTAATGATTCCCCACTCTCTAATAAGCTCCCCTCTCTTTAGTAAAACAGCTTCTTTAACAAGTCCCCCTCTCTAAGCCCCCTCTCCAAAAAGCCCCCTTTCTATCAAGCCCCCCACTCTAATAAGCCCCTTCCCTAACCAGCCATTTCTCTATTAAGTCCCTTTTCTAAAACGCCCTCTCTCTCAAATAGGCCCCCTTTAGTAGAAGCCACCTCCCTATTTACGTAATTTTAGTCTATCCAGGATCATTTTAACACCAAGCCTCATGCTGATGTCTGATCAACCCTTATTATATCTTACATAAAGGCAGTTTCCATATTCCTGCCGCTGGCATATTAGTGATCATTAGTTCTCCTCTTCTCTAACCACCCTCTTCAGTTACTCAAGATTAACCATATGACCCTGAGAGTGATTAGCATCTAATTTCTCCTCATGATATCACCTCTGACTCAAATATTAGGGTATCGAGAATACAAGAAATGATCATCAACTTGAGAAGCTTTTGGTTGTGAAACATATATATTCTCCTTGTTAGCACCTCAGGAAATGTATACAGAACAGTATGGAGAATATGCATACTGGTGTTAGGGTGTAAAGGGTTAATGATTTTTTTATTATTATTTTCCAGCTCGCTTTGTAAGAAACGGAGATTGGGACATAACAAGCATCACACCTAGCTTAAACGAAACTGACCACGGTAACTGTTGTCCGTTCAAATTCAGCGAAGTGGTGTACACTCTGACGATGAAACGCAAATATCTTTACTACATGTTCTACGTATTTATTCCCTCGGTTCTATTGACGATCCTGGCGCTCAGCAGCTTCCTGATTCACGTTGAAAGCGGCGAACGCATCGGTTTTGTCACAACTATTCTGTTGGCAATGACTGTGTTTCTGCTCTTCATTCCGTCTTTCCTTCCAGTTACCTCGGAGGGCCTCCCAGTCTTGGGAGTGAACCTTCAGGCCACTATGATCTTAATAGCTGTGATCCTTTTCGCAAACATCTTTGTCCTAAGAGTATACTTCTTGGAAGGAACGCCGCCTACATGGGTCGAAAAATTTTGCAACTTCTTCAGCCTTAAGAAGGGTCCAGAGGTAAGGAGCCTCACCTCTTCACGCCCCAGTAGTGTTTATCCTTCAGCCGCGAAGTCCCTCGCAACAACGGCTGGTATTGAGTTGAATGACTTCAGTAGAGGAAGCTCGCCATTGGTTAAACCGTCCCTAGTCCCAGGATTCACGTGGCGGCGGGTGTCAATGAAATTGGATCAAGTGTTTTTTGTGGTCTTCATTATTATTTCGTCAATTACGTACGCAGTAACATTCGCAACTTAAAGAGTCAATATCCTTACGTTTTATTTAACAAAGAAATTCCTCTTGGCTGCGTGTCTGTTCAGTTTATGGAACCAAAGGGGGAAAGAGAGGAAATTATAAAAATACATACAGAACCTTATAGGAAGATCAAATAAATTTCCTCGTGACAAAACCAAAATCCTTCACCATAAAGTGATACAAACTGATGTAAAAAAGGAAAGCGCTTTTTCTAACATGAATAAATCTACCTTAACTAACTTTTCTCTTGAGAAACCTCTTTTGAATAATAATCACCTTAAAACAGTTTTCCCCTCCTCTTTTAGTCCGCAGCTCGAAATCCTCGGTCGCGTTTTTGTCTCATTCCGCCTTTCTCCCCTGTTATGATTCTGAAACGTTCTAGATCTTCAACATCTGATATCTAATATATTTATTTTCATACAACTAATGTCCTGTGATAATTCCTTCAAATCAAATTCACCAGTAATTTGAATTAAAGAGTTCAATGTATTACCCATGGCGACCGAAAGACATGTTTTTTCTTTTCAACAGAAAAACAAGTTCTCATTATTAATTCTAGTTCGTTTCCTTTTTCGAGTGTTCAGCATGCTTTGTATGAGAGGGTGTCCTTTCTTCTCAGGTGTTAGAACGGTAGTACTCATTTTAAATGGCAGTGATATGAATATATAATCAGGACCTGCTAACACTTTTTATTAACATAACTTTCAACTGAAAAAACAAACTAAAATCACATGTACAACAGTCTGATTTCCGACGAAAAAGCAATAATTTTTGTACCATTCTGATTGAACACTTCTCTTGAAATCAGAACTCTCCAGGAAAAGATTCCATTAATTAGAGCAAGCTTTGAATATTTTTTAGTTTAATCGAATACTTCATAGATCCCGGTGAACAGATCTGATAATCGACTGTTAGGGAAACCATTTTAATGAAGATCTATTCCCACCGGATATTGATTTCGAAGGTCTCACAGAGATAAAAATTATTTCAGTCTTTCATTTTGTCCTCAATGATATAATACATTGATAACAAGGCTCTTCATTGATTTTTGTTTTAATTTATGGTGTTTTCTCGCTCTTGCTGTCTTCTGTCCTTTCCTCAGACTAGTTGACAAAAATTCCCATTCATCAGTTTCTTTTCTTACACTGAGTAAATAAGAAATTACATCCTTTCAAATACAAATTATAATTTCATGAGCTTATGATTTGGTAACCGTATTTATTTTGCGGCCCAACAATAAAACAGCGGAACATTTAATTTTCCTATGTAAATAAAAGTCTTGTCTTTCTCTAAATTACAATCACGAAGACTACGTGTTGTTGTGTCTTGCTTTGGTTACCAAGTTAATTACCCACTTGAGCGATCTGGGCGCCATCATGCAAAGCACGTTTCTGGAGCTCAGTGACATTTCGACGTCAATGCTTACATTATCAGATTATCTAATCCTAACTACACCTAACTTCTCCGAAAATAGCGAACCGTGGAACATTAAATTAACAGAAACATTGCCTTATTTGAGAGAAACTAGCAACTTGACGCCTGATTTGCGACCATCGTATCGTGTATCGCCAGGGCAATTTAATTCGTTCATATTTATTCTGCGAAAAAACAAATGCCCAAATAAGTTATTCAAAATCCTTGACGTAACGTCAAGATCTTTGTTTGGTATTGAAAAAGAAGTTAATTTGCACAACAATTTAGCCACTAACGCGATTATAATGTCATAAGTCCGTGTGCTAAATTCAGTTCAGCTCTTGAAAAACATCCATCATTGACGCGGTAACACCAGAATCTCCACCGGAAATTTTAAAAGGAAATCCGCGCCCAGATGTTTTATTACCTCGTACTATGGTTTTTAGAAGGACTTTGTGTTAGAGGTAAGTACTTTAGAGTAATTTCTTTTTCATTATATATTCCTCTCTGTGTATTCAGCAGTATATGGTTGAAACTTTACGTTCCGCATATTTTGTGCATGGATCTCTTTCCGTAAGGTTCATGCCATAATTACTTAAATGTCAACCTGGAAAACTGTAAAATTTGTAATTTTGATTCACTTACCATTTTTAACCGCTGCAACAGAAATCAAATTGCACTATGGTACTTCTTCCGATATTTTTTCTCACGTAAAATCAAAGCATTCGTTCAAAATTTCAACCGAACTCGCTCATACCGGTCAATACTAAGAAATCGCTTTTTCGTAAATCGAGTGGTGGAAAATTTCTGGTTTCTCACTTCGATTCGACAGACTAACGGTCGGTACCGCCGTACAGCTTTCATCATTACGGTATATCAGCTTTTATCACCTTCAATTTCAGTAATAATCAACGAAATGCATGTTTTACTTAATCGACAACGTGTTACAAACAATTCCTTAAATCTACTCCTTTAGAGATAGAACCAGGAATCAATCATTAATGAAGTTAGCTTTGCTTTTGTAGTGCCTCTGCTAGCTATAGTACACAGCTCTAGAAACGAAAGTGACTCTTGTATATTAAACATATCGATTTATTTTGCCAGTCTTTTGTATTAGTCACCAGTCATCAGTTTCTTGGCGCTTGATTCTTTTTTCTGCTGCTAGTGTTTTTACCTCAATTAATATTTAAAGCAATCACTTAAAAAACTGGCCAGTAGTTTTTAATTCGCCTCTTGTAACGTTTATCGTATGAATTTGTTGATTTGGCTTTTAGTAAGCGTGAAGAAGCATCTAATAAAAAACTTTTTTCGTTTATATATGTTTTGCTTTTTATATTCTGATATATCAATTTTTAGCCCGCTGATGTTGAGAATTCGGGTTGTCACCTCGCACTTTGATTGTCTCTGAGCGTGCTACATGGAGTAAGCCAGATAACGATTTACAATTCGGAGTGGGGGGGGGGGGGGGAGAGGGGGAAGGGATATTCTGTTGTACCCGTAAATAAAAAATTGCGCCTTTGTGCGGCGGCAAACCGTGTTTGACCTCGAGACTTCTTATTTGTAATCGGGTGAGGTAAGAATAGGGGTCTGAGATTTTTCTTTCTTTCTTTATAATTTTTTAAAGAGAGGCGCAATTTTTTGTAGAAATAATGTTGAAAACAAATGAATATTTATAAAGGAAAAGCTGAGGTACTCCAGAAGTACGGGGATTGGAAAAATCCCTTCTTATATCAACTCAGGTTTTGGAAAAATTCGAATTTCGTTGAATTTATAATAATAAAAAAGGGGAGGACATTATACCTTCAACTCCATGGAAATTATTGTACTTTTATCGCCTGAAAAATGACTTGTCATTGAAGATCGTTCGATCATATTAGTGTAAAAAGTCTCAAAGAATATCATTAAAAGCGTCTCTTGAATGGTGAACACCTGGTTTGCTTTACAGTGGATTTACAGCTAATTTACTTGATTTACTTGACAACTTGAATTGTTTCACTAAATTTTTACAAGCAATTAGTATCTAGGTACTACTTGACGTTATCAATGTTTACATCACCTTATGTATCTAAATATAAATTTAATGGGTTGGAAAAAATTTGACCACTTAAGCAAATGCGAGACGTATTCAAGGGAAAATCGAGAAATTATTTCTCGTGTTTATATTCCTTTGTCTATACGCTAATAGGGTTGAAAAAAATTCGTAGACCCTCGACAGTACTGTGTTCCGGGTTTGTCCAATTTCGAGAATTCTCCCAACACTTGTCTCAGTGAAGACGGGAAAAGAAATTTATCCCTTCAATTCTATGCAGCATTTCTCAAATATTAGCGCGAACGTAAACATTAAGCGACTGATGAGAACGCCTGAAATATCTCAAACTGTTATATACCTAGAATTTCACTCGAAAAAAAGACTGGTTGGTTCTTGGTCACGTGCCCCTGATCAAATTCAAATGTATTCCGATACAATTGCGCAGTTGTTGCCCGCGCACCGAATACAAAAGCACATGATTGTTTAAGGGAAAGGCTAAATATATATCAAAGCACTTAATGTATGGTCCCGAGGGAAACTAGTTAGTTTTGATTTCCCTCGAGTCCTGATGTTCCCCTTGACTCCGTCTCGGGAAACATCAGGACTCTCAGGAAAACAAAACTGTTTCCCTCAGGACCATACATTAAGTGTATGTAGTTCCATTACACAGTTGTAAATTTCGAGAAATTATTATCAACATTATCGCTAATACTGTAGTATTATCACTATTATTATTATTATTATTATTATTGTTATTCAGCATTTCGTCTTTTTTCCCTTTTTTCAAGTTCAAGATTTATGCCGGAAAAACAATGTTGGTGATTATGTTGTGATACCTTAATAGTATTTAATTTCGCTTTTTTTTCGCATTTGTAAAAAAATCCTCGTGAAATTTGAACACGCGAAATCTAATCCCCAATAAAAAATTCAAATCACAGAAAAAAATCAATATGCAAAAGCAACAACATATACCGGATGTGTATCGACAAATACAGAAACTATAAACTGACTGGTGAGCTCTATTTTAAATCTCTAGTTGTAAAATGACGTTAATATGCAAAGATTTTGTAAATGGATTAGGGAATGTAGTAATAAACTTCACCTGGGTCGCTAGATTTGTACAAATTTCTTAGAACATCTTTGTGTGGAGTGCGCAGTCGTCAAACTTAATAAATCGCGAAATTTTTTCTTTGAAATCGCTATTGAAATCGTGAAAATAAATCTCGTAAAACACTTTCTCACTCAAATTGCGATATTAGGTATCCGCGAAATTAAGTACTTATCATGTTTATGTATGTCAAAAACACTCTTTTTAGTAATTGAGGTTTAGATCTTAACACAGTCCCACTTTGTTATTGCTGTTGTTGTTATTATCATCATTATTATTAATATTATTTTTAGTATTATAATTTTAATTGCATAATTGTTGTTTTTATCATTATTATTCTGTTGTATGCTGATTTAAGTTCCCCTCTCCATCAAGGCGTTTTAGGATCATCAAATGTCTCATTGGAACATCAAATCCGCAGCGCCCTGCTTGATAACTATGACATGAATGTAAGGCCAGTAATAGGGAAAAAAGCCGTAGAAGTGGCGTTTGGTATGAAGATTAGCAGACTCGTAAAAGTGGTGAGCTCACTAGAATGTCTTTTGTTCTCCTGAACCACCAGCTACATTGTAGACTGGCTACCAATTACATACTACAGAGATTTCAAGATTATTTTACTACGCGCGCCTCAAAGCAGCAAATGGTATGGCGTCTGATTATGTGCTTCAAAGCAGTACATTGCATAGCATCTGATTATAATTTTAAGATTATAAGTTTTAAAATTCCTTCCAACTGCGGTCTAATCAGAAACTTCTCCTAATGGCACCAAGAAACAAGCCTTGATTAGGGTTGTGTCTACAGTGCTACCTCCATTAAGGGCAAGGGCTTTCTTCGCTGCAGCCTCGTATCTCTGGAATAATCTACCAAGTGACATCACTGTTAAATTTTCAAATTTTCAGTATAATCTCAAGACTTGTCTTTTCAGTTGAGCTTTTAAATTGCTGCCCCAGTAATGTAGTTTTTTTTTCTCTTCTTAAGGGAATTATTAAGTTTTGTTAATATCTATCTCTTTCAAACTTTATATCAATTTTAGTTAGCCATCGTTATTTCCTGTGAAAAGCATTTGATGTACTGTATCAAAAACGAGTGCGAGGGTTTCATCAGGATTCCAAACACGAGAGAACTGATGAAAACACGAGGCCCACAGGCAAAGTGCTTTTACTGTTTTAGAGTGTTCGGAAACCCTGATGAAACCCAATGCACGAGTATTTGAAATAGCTTTTCAATTGCGCCCAGGAATACAATAAAATGGAAATATTCACGAATTTTTCACATGTTGTCGGTAAGTTTGTTGTTACGCAATATAATTTCTAATTATTTTCATTATTATCATTATTATCATCATCATTATTATAATTACTATTACTATTATCATCATTATTATCTTAAGAAGTGTGAGAGAGAGTGGCGGTAATGTTTACAATTTATTTCTTTCGTTTCAATTTCTCATTTTGCAGGACACAAAAGAACAAATTGTGATTTTGGATACTTGGGTGATACAGGTCAGTTCAAACTCATCAAGTTTTGCCGATATTCAATTTCAGCGAAAATTGAAAAATCATATCTTTTAAGGGTTTAACACCGCGATGTCGCAGAAAAATCAGTAAATGTCGAAAGGACAAGTCTTCATTGAAGGCGTCTCATTGCTAATACGCGTCTTCGATTCAGACAGTCTCCTCTTCATTGTGCTCCATATCCAACATGAAAATAAAAATAATGGTAATCACTACAGAACTCTTTGAACTCTTTATAATCAACCACCTTCGTCCTCGTTAAATTTCAAAGTTACACTGAATTGGGAAACTAATCATTGACTTTTTTTCTGGCGCAAGAAGAGCAAACTAATGCAATCTCGGACTAGTTTCGACGCTGAATTGATAATTCAGTAATTTAGCGTTATCAACTGAGTCGATAATGTAAATTGGCCACCGTCAGAGCGACTGCTCTTCGCTTCGCTCTGACGAAGGGCTCATGCTCGAAACGTCAGCTTTGAAACTCCTTACGGTGGCCAATTTACGCTATCAACTCAGTTGATAAAACTCAATTACCCTGTTATACTCTTCCACCGACGCAGCACCACAGTTTCTTTGAAAACCTACCCCCTTGAGAATTGAGTGTTAAGAATGTGTGTATCGATCATCTTAATACAGAAGTAAGAGATGAAAAAACCTATGCTGCTTACACTTTTCTTTTAAATTTATTTTGATTGATCTTTCAGAGGTGGAAAAATGAATTTCTCGTTTGGGACTCGAAAGCCTTTGGAGATGTAGAGCGTGTGCAGTTTCTCCCGAGTGAGATCTGGGTACCAGATATCTCCCTTTACAACAAGTGAGTGATGGCAAGTCTTTGTAACAAAATTAGGGAAACAAAACAATTATGAATCAACATTAATCAACACGTAATTAATCTTAGAAAGCGGTGCTACTCGCAAAATAGCATCTTTGCAACTATAGCAGTTTTTAACAAAATGTCGGCAAGTATGTTTAAAATAAGTCTTAAATACTCCGGAGAAATTTTTAAATCTTACCTATACAGTAACATTTTAACCTAAAATGTTTTCTCTTTTTCAACTTAAGCGGAGACGATAGTACAACTCTGGCTGGAGGAAGAGGGAAATTTGTCACTGAAGTTTCTGTAGACAACAAAGGGAACTGTGTGTGGAGTGGGCCTGCTACATTCAAAGCGAACTGTGACTTACAAATCATCAGTTGGCCGTTTGACAACCAGACATGTGAATTGGGCTTTGGTTCATATACATACGGAGATGACAGATTGAATATTAAACTGTTTGTAGACACATCTGGTGAATTTACCAGTAAGTATCTTGATTGCCGATGCCTGGATGGGTTTGTGAACAAATGGCCTGTCACTTTTTATGTATAGGGTCGTCTAAAGAGAATATAGTATTATATTAACTATTAATCCCCTCATTGATATTTTTCTTTATTATCATCACTTTTCTGCTTGATATTGTATTAATATTGTAAGGAGAAATTCTGTCTTGGTCACTCATGGTTGTTTAAGGGTTAACGCTACACTGAGTGATTCAGTCCATCAACAACTTTAAAGTCAAAAGCCGATTTCTACTGTCTAGAACGAGAAGAAAAAAAATTACTAGAGTACTGTAAAAATTTATATTTGAAATTATGACTATGTACGTTTTGAGATTCTAAAGAAGCACCTAACCTCTTCAGAATTAACCAACTACGCCATGATGTTTACTCCTTAGCAATCTAGCCGTTTTCCTTTCACGTGCCATAACTTTACTCCTTTTTTCCCCCTCACTCGGCGAACTCTTTGAAAAAAATATTACAGACAACATCAAGGGCGGATACATTGGGAGGGTCCAGGGGTCCGCACTCCCCTTCCACGCTACCATTATCATTGAGTTCCTTCGTAAGAAGAGGGTTTCCTTTACTTGCAGGTCGCTTCGTTACAAGTGGTGACTGGAGTATAATGAATATAACAAAAAGAATCACTAAGACAAGTCACGGCGACTGTTGTCCATTTGACTTCAGCGAAGTTGTTTACAGTTTGAAAATGTCTCGGAAGCCTTTATTTCATGTGTTTTACCTCACTATTCCAAGCACGCTGCTTTTGACTCTGACGCTGACATCATTTTTCATTCCTGTGGAGAGTGGGGAAAGAATTGGCTTTGTCACTACCATGCTTCTCGCCATGACGGTGTTCTTGCTGCTTATTCCATCTTTCCTCCCGGAAACATCAGATGGCGTCCCAATCCTCGGCATAAGTTTGCAGGCCACGTCGATCATCATAGCTTTGGTCCTGTTTGGTAACATCTTCGTCCTTAAGGTTTTCTTCACGAATGGTACTCCACCTCAATGGGTGCGCAACCTCTGCTTGTGTTGGAGGAGGAAAGGAAAAGTTTCCAAACGAGTTGATGTGAACGGCTCAGACGAGTACCCAGTCCCTTCTGTGAACTCTCCCCCATCCCTGAATGCCATAGAACTGTCCACCACATCCACAAGAGCCACCACATCACATGGATGGGAGGAGAAGGAAGAGCAAATAACATGGCAAAAAGTGTCATCTAAACTGGATCATTTCTTTTTTACGTTTTTCGTGATCATTAGCGCGATTACCCTTTGCACAGTCTACTTGGTAAATCAATAATGAATGTAAAAGTGTTGACCGAGAACTACCCAGAGCTAATGCTGATAACTTTCATATTTTTAGAAATCTATCTTCGTTTCCTTCTAGTAATCCTATATTTGTTATAATGTGATACCTCTGAATTGCCCGAAAGGAGCCATATCCTCGCCTCGTTTTCACGTTGTGATAGGGATTTGGCCTTAAGGCCCATTTGTATGGTCTCAGGTTTCCAAGGCACCTTCCCCTCGCATTACGTTGGCTTAGCTGACTTTTAACTCATTTCTTTGAAAAATTTCAACGAACAATTTGCATAAAAATGGTGAGCTCGTTTCTAAGGGGCGTACAACTCGTGAGAGCGCGCTAAGGTAACCTCGTCAGGCGGGACGACTTTTTCGGATCAATGACATTATCTGAGCAACTTACCCTTCCCCTAAACCAACAACAGTCAACTGATAACAAGTTAGGGTTAATGTTGGGTAAGGGAAAGGGTAGGAGCGCAGTTGCTCAGATATTGACACGAATCCACTTTTTCTCATATAAACTCTTCGGTTCGCCTTCTCGAGACGTCACAGTTCAAAAAAAAAATGCAAAAAGAAAAATTCAATTTTAACAACTGCAAGCGTTTCGATTGCTCACAGTCGCGGGAACGGAGTGATAATCTCTGCCAGCGGCTCCTGAATTTTATTTCTTCCTGGAATAATTTCACATGACAAACCTACAACGTCGACAACGTCGTGGTTCCATTTTTTACGAGATTTTTAGGGTTAACCAAAGTAGTGCACCTGGACCTGATCCTGATAAACAACAAAGGTTTGGTGCAAGCGATTGAACGCGCTCTAAACTTTGTACATAGCACGTACTTTTCCTGGCAGTTCATTGACGAACAACATTCACTGACTGATTAAGTTTTGTAGCAACACGTGTGTCTGATGGCAAAACTCTAAGTAATAATCCTTTTAGCCTATGGTGTCATAAACGGTCTCCTTATGTATTATCCGTGGTTGATTATGGTCTTAACTCTCGTTACCAATGTACTTTCAAGTGTATAAAGATTATGGAGAGAATATCAATGCTTATCAATGTTGGAGAGAAAAAGGGCTCAAAAAGTTATCGCAACAGTCATCCCGTTAAAAGTAGACGATGGCGGGAAATTACTAATTTATACAACTTGTATATAGGAATCCTAAACGGGGTACTTTTTTGTAGGTAATTTGGTGTTAACAACTTAGATAAAAACGTAAATTGGCCACTGTAAAGAGTAAAAAAGCTGACGTTTCGAGCGTTAGCCCTCCGTCAGAGCGATTGGAGGAATTGTTGGTTGAGTGTGAGTTTATATGCAGAAAGAGGAGCTACGCTCTTGGTGGGAGTATGGTGACGAGAAAACAGGAATAAATTAGTTGAATGAAAAGCGCTCGTTGATACCGTGGGAAGAGTGCCGATTTGGAAGATAAATTTTTGTTCTAGTGTTTTGCGGCTTTCCAAACTGCCTTGATGTTCCAGGTATTAAGTTAGTGAAACACTAGCGAAATCATTAACGGCACTATGGTAGCGGAAGAGTGAAAAAACGATAGAGAGGTTTGGAACGCGTCACTGAACATTGCGCGGCTCAACCCAAATCTCCCTCGTTTATTCATTCCCCCAGTATTATCGCAACAGACCCTCCTCGGCCAAGCGGTTGTACATTTCAATACATTTCAGTTACACGGTAGGACCTGAATACGAGATTAACAATACTCGTATGACTCCTGTGCTATGGGCGAGTGATTGAACCTATTGTATACTGGAAACATGCACACAAACGTACCTCAAGAGAATTAACGGAATTTAATAAAATAATTCAAATAGTACGCGCGCTCTGATTGGCCATAAAATCATTTTACATGAGCGTATGTAAACACGGTTTTCGTTCCTCTTTCATTAGTTATTTTATAAAAGAAATGTAAAATGGTTTCCGTGTTTAAATAGCCTGATGTAAACACGCGGGAGGTTGGGAGAACGCGAGATAAGCGTAGGAAACCACGAAGCGAAGCGGAGTGGTTTCCAGCTTATCGAGTCTTCAACAACTGTATGCAACGCATACGAATACCTCTTTCAAGGCAATTTACCAGTCTCTTACGAAGTCTTAGAGGCAAATGGTCTACTTGATGCTATAGGAAAACTCATTCTAATTCAACAGCGAGCATTATTTACAAACCCACTGAACGGCAGTGGATACCAATTTGGCTGTAGCTTTTGCCAATATTTTCATGGCAGGAATAGAACAAAGTATAATCAGTCAGAGCACAACTAAGCCGTTAGTTTGGAAGAGGTGTATTGACGACGTTTGTTGTCCGTGGAACATAACCAAAGACAAAATAGAGGAATTTGTAAGACGGGAAAACTACTATCGTTGTTTTTTGTTTTGTTTTGATTTTTGTTTTATATCATTCTGTATCATATCTGCTTAATAGAAAACATTCCATAATCATTAATTCAGTGTATTTCTCTTCAGCGAGTTATTTTTCACAAGTCAGTCAAATCAGTCCCAGCGTTCATTCGTTAATTCTGACGCTATCCTTAGCAAAGTAGCGTACTCAGATGAGAAAATATGGAACACACAATCATAATATTAAGTGGCTAATGTAAATTTACAGCATTCAGCATTAAATTCGGAAACACAGCGACTTAAAACGGGCAATTTTCTTATTCGATTTGAAATGTAGTTAGCCTTATGGCAGGTATTAAAATCATAGAGGATATATTTGCCCCCCTTAGTCGATTAATTAAAATGAATAAGACCTCAAAAAATAATGATAACAAAAAGATAGCATCAAAAAAAGAAAACAAAAAAAAAGAAAAAAATTGATTTTTAACTCTTCCTTTTCGGAACGTCGTTCGAATAGCATCACAATTCATTCACATATTGGAAGAATTCAAATTAGGAAAATGTAGTAAACATTATTACAAATCGAGTGGCTGGTATAAATGGCTAGCACTTAGCACTGAAATGCAGCGATCCAGCTTAGGAAGTTGCCTCATTCGAAGTTACAACAAACGTTTTTAATAACATGATAGAGGATAAATTTGATCTCCTTAGTCGATTAATCTCCAGAAATAAGAAATAGGAAAAGGAAGACCGTTCATTTTTCAGTATCTTCCAACCTAGTTCTTCTACCAGATTAAAACAATCGCTATTAGGTTAGAGATTTTCATCGAGATGAACGATTCTTTTGCTAGGTCTGTTAATCAATGTTCAGTTTTTATATCTCGGGTTACCCTTTATTGAATTTGTGTTGCTTAACTTACCGGCGAAACTCCTCACGTAAAACATCAGGTCATTTTTCTCCTTTTAAATCTTTCATTTTTTCTTGGAACTTCTGTAGATCAACACCACGGGGAATAGTGCCATACACCCGATAAGCAGCCTCTTCGTATTTCTTCTTATAAGACTGCATTTCCTTGTCTTTTTGATCGTAATATTCCAGCATTTCTTTAGTCAGACGAAGACCTGCCGATCTACCAGTTACCTCTTCGGGGTTCACCCGCACCTCTGTTGATTTTTTGTTCTCCCCTGGTACGGTCGACTCATTCAGTGATGTGTCTTGATCATTCTTCGAGGGCGAGTTTTCCATCGCTGTAGATGGAGAAGGTAGCTATACTAGGAAGCCGCAACGGAGGTCACCTGGGCTATGCAGGAGTTACTTTCAAGAATAAGTGTCAAGTCTCAGATAGAGTCTACCAAAGCTTTCAAAGCTTTTACTAAGCATTAGTCGCCAGACAGGAAATTAACTTCAGTTCATTTGTCCCTCTGGCATAGCTACTTAAATGAACGCCTTTCAATCACCGGTTTTGTTAGAGTAACTCGTTGATTGTTTTTTTAACACATTCTCCTCCAAAGAGGCACCGCTAGTGTTACGCAATAATGTGAAGGAGATATTGCACAATCGCAACTGTCAGTTATGTGCTGCGGTAAGTTCTTATCACTGCCTTCCGTTTTCGTTAAAATCCCCGAAAGCGCAAATTTTAACACCGCTCCGAAGCTTTAAAGATACCGGCTATCTCATTGTCGCTCCGACCATTTTTACTTCCTATCTTTTTAAACAGAAGTTCTTTACCGCCCCTTTCATCATTCATCTTATTCTCATCTACTATTTTCCATATCATTCTTACAATGTGAGTTTGGAGAATGGAGTTTGTAAAAATCTCCTTATTCATTGATATATTTCTTTATTCTCATCACTTGTCTGCTTGATTTTCTATTGATATAGTAAGGAAAAACCCTGTCTCGGTCATTCATGGGAGTAATAGGGTTGATAAATTATTTTTTTCAAGGAAACATGTTAAAACGAGTACAAAGAGAGTGTTGGAATTTGATCATCAGTACTGGGAAAGTTAAAATGGTCGTTCAAGACTCTTTTAGCGGCCTCAAGACAAGTAGTCACGATGATTACAAGTTTTCCATAGTACCCCCTCCTCAAGGATGTTTCATAATGGCCCGATAATGGAGTGTTGTTGTAAAATCTTCCCCTTTTTTGCGTTTTTAGGTCAGTCCTCCTCTCCGAACCTAAGAAAAAACAAAATAAAATAAATAGTAAATTGAAAGGGGGAAATGATATCGTTTTATCTTAATCAGACTGTGCATCCTAATGGCATGCTTCTGTAATTCCTCTATTGTAATATTCGTTAACGTTTTTCTTTATTTGTAATGAAGTTGCGCAACACATGATGACGTCATGATATTTGCATTCGCTTTGCTGTGACAAGCCGAGGAAGGATTCTAACTCTACTTCATTGGAAAATGTGACTCCGATTTCTAGTACGAAAAGAAACATAAGAGAAAAGAAAAAAAGGTAAATCAGTAACTTTCTGCATTTTTTGTTGAACGATTGCGGATGTTTCATTTACCTCTAACGAGGTTGCGCAACCGAAAAAATAAAATTTGCGACAATGCCGTGACGTTGATCAGAAATTAGCGTTTTCGATGCGGCGTTTATCCAAGGTCGGTGGTTATTCGGTGGCAGTATTCACTGGAAAGTAAAATTTCCTAGATCATTGGCAATAATTGCGTTGCACCATTTCTAATTAGTATGTGAAACAGAAATATGCCTATGGAATATCCTCTGATATATGTGAATGAAAGCAGTCTTCTCAGTAATGAACACAAACTTAAGAAGTGGTAAAATAAGGCCTGAAAAAATTTCAGGCCTGTACCGGCGGGATTTAAACCCATGACCTCTGCGATACCGGTGCAGCGCTCTACCGATTGAGCTAACAAGCCAAAAGGGAGCCAGTCATTATGTTGCTTCGTAATAAACTCGTGAAGTGATGACTCAATGACAATAAATATATAAAAAAATATGATTTTCATATATTTACCGTCATTGATTCATGCCATTATGCCAAGTGCTACCACACCGAGAGACCACCTGCATTAGCTGTAAAAGACAAGCAGATTTGAAAAACAAGACGGAAGATACAAAGGCATATATTAAAATCCAAGATGGCAAAACGAAACGACCGAAACGAAACAAGCGAAACCACCGAAACAACCAAAACAAAACGACAGCAACGACCAAAACGAACGAGAAGGAAAGAGTAGAGGATTAAATGAAATGTCGCGGAAAATTTAGATTTTACTTCAGATCTTCTGTCGCATTTAAGGCTTTTAAATATTAAGGCCGTCTCACGATACTTTATTTTTTCCCACTACGAGAGCAGTTGAAACTATATATAAGTTAACATTTATTTGTAATTTCGAGGATGAAACGCCAGCCCATTGAAACAATAATGACATTTATCGGTAGTTTCCAGGACAGAACGCCAGCCATATCAAATACCAAAGCACGTGCGGAAAGGAGAGGAAATAGATAAAGGTATTCATTGACGACGTTTATGTCCTTGTTTTCTTTATGGATTTTTTTTTTTAATAAAGGTTTCCACGACGCCTTACGCCAAGCCGATAGCAATCGAGAGATAACTGAATTTCCCCGTGAGGTAAATCAAGGGTAGACCACAATCGAAACGAGACAAATATACATCTCAGGGCATTTATATATTTTGTATTATTATCACTCTACAGTCAACTCACTATCTCTTTTCTAATTGGCTGATAGCGTACAGTGAATTTTCGAAATCAGCGCCTGGGACGTCACGGAGCTGCAGATTATGCGATTATCATGTCATGGGCACTCAAGGCCATGGGTCAGGTCATGTCATGTATGACCGCTGTGTATGATTCCTAATGGAAATCATGTCAAGTTCGCGCGCTTTGCGTTGCTTGCAGATCATGATTTGTAAAAATTTTTACATGTTTAGATATAAATTATCAGTTCCACTTACTGTCGTGACCATTTTTTTTTCGTGCGATGTATAATAAGACAGCTATTGGAAAAGGTTTTTGTGATATCCAGAATAATCAAGGTCTTGGTAAGGGTTATCAGTCGAAGCCGAAGATAATCCCTACCTATAATTCCCATCTGCTTCACCAAACTCTTTTCCAAAAGCTGTAATCACGCAGGATGGAATCGAACCCATTTTACTCTCCCAAACTTTCCATCAATAAACCAGATCTGCTGTTGATAAGGTGCATGGGGACTAAAAGTAAAATTTGTAAACGTTCGATTTAAGCACACGGCTGGGAACTCCTCCTCCTCTAGAATACACGAAACCCTTGCATTTTGCCAGCAGCAAAATAACCATAGAGACAAAGTACACTGAGATAAATACAAATCTAGTTCGTTTGATTCAACCAATCTATTATATGTATAATTTCCAACATTTAATTTTAGCGGAAAGACACCACTTTCTCGTTATCGCCGACGATCATTCTTCTATTTATTTACATCCTCCGTCTTGTTTTCCAAATCTGCTCGTTTTTGAAAGCTAATACACTCTCTCGACGTTGGTAGCACTTGACATGAGCCACAAGACCACATATCCGTAGTTTCAAGTAGATTACAGGTAAACACTCGAAACACGCGGGTAATGAAAAGTTGGACGGTTTGACGTCACAATCAAGCTAATCAACTCTTCAAAAAGCAGCGCGCTTTGGCCACTTTGAAGTGGACTTTAACCTCTGTGTGTGGAATAAGCGATAAAATGCAGGTTGTTTGCAAGGAATTAACACGCGCTTGGGTTAAGTCCAAGCTAGCTAAAATCAAATATTATTCGTAGAAAAAGTCAAAACGCGGAAGAATTGAGTGGAAAATTCATATCACTCGCATTTAGCTCCGTTTGAATTTTTTTCAATGGGGTTGGACAATGCTAGAATTAGGATACCTTGTTTACAAGGAAATGACACGTGATGGAGGAAAGTCTAATGTGGCAAAAAGGAATTTGATTGGTGGAATATGATTCTAGCATGTGAAAAATTGCCTAGTGTTTTATGTGACGCAGTGATTGGGTATGCTCAGATTGGGCTTGGACGTTATTTTCATGGTAGGTGATAGAATGTAAGATGTTTTTAGTGTGCTTTGTGAGTGAAGGAGCGCAAAAAACATGTTTTTCCTTAAAAGTGATACAAAAAGTTAAACGCGAACCTTTCATGTCCAAATAAATCTCGACTTTAATCGACGAGGCTCTCGCGTAGGCCACAAACCATTACACCTTGGTGGAATGTGATGGAGGAAAGTCCATCGAATAGAGACTTTCATCGTGAAGAACGATTTTGTGTGTTTTATGTACTTTTTGTGTAGCTCACCATAACTTTAACGTGTTGTTAATGTGTCGAACCTCCCCGCGAAACGCCTCACGTCAAGAATCAGGCTGTTTTTTTCTCCCTGTGCAAACCTTTCATCTTTTCACGGAACTTCTGCGAATCAACATCATCGGGAGTGGAGCCATACACCCAAAAAGCAGCCTCTTCATATTTCTTCTTATGAGAGTGCATTTCTTTGCCTTTTTGGTGATAATATTCCAGCATTTCCTCAGTCAAACGAATGCCTTCCGATACACCATTCATCTCTTCAGGGTTCATTTGCACCTCTTTCGATTTTTCATCCTTTCCTAACGCGGTCAACCCATTCAGTGATGTGTCTTGATAACTCTTTGCGTTCGAGCGCGAACTCTCCATTGCTACAAGTAGGATGGATGGTTGATATGAAGCTTAGGATTAGAGTGAACGTAGCTACTGATGCAAATTATTGACGAAAATGACGTCAAACGTTAATTCACCATGACATCCAAGATTATCAACATCCCTTCAATCGGATGATTGTGTTTTCATTCTTTACGTCCAAGTTACCGCTGAAGTGGTTCTCTGCTTTCCAGCATAGCAACTGGAATTGGGTCCTCTTTAGCACCAAAACCTGAGACGAAACTGAACCCGTTAAATGTAATTCAAAACACCAGTGGTTTCAATTGAAATTTCAGGAGTGTTTTCATCCATTTTCGTCCAAAGAGGGCTTCGCTGATATGCCATCACACAAGAAAAAGAACATGTTTCTTTCTATATGAACTGAAAGTCGTCAAAAAACTGTTTAAAAAGAACTGCATAGACAGGCTTTTTTTTTTTGAGGAAATTAGAACTGCGCTCCATCAATATAACTATCCTAAAAACATATCAACTGAGTTGCTAAATTGACCACTAACGCTGACGTTTCAAGCCTAGGCCCTTAGTCAAAGGAAATAATTCGCCGAAAAACACTCATTGGACGGCCCGAGGTATGACGTCATAAAATTTGCCAGGGGGTTCCCTGTAATTCCCCTTAAGAAGGATTCCAATCAGTTACATTACGTATCGCGGATCTGAAATTTTCTTTGCAAAATATAATGTGAAAAATGATTAAAGGTTAAGTTCTACCTGTTTCAGCAATTTTTCTTTCCCCATTTCTTAAAAGATGTTTTTGATCGATTTTACTCCCTGTGACGAGGTAGCGTAGCCCACGGTGACGTTGCTTCGCTCCGATCATAGATCTTAAAATCGTTCAAAATCAACGGCTCTTTTTTTATTGATTAAAACCTCCTGAGATTCATGTTACATGGCTTATCAGTAATTATTAATGAATAAATATTTACAAGTCAATGGTAAATGAAACATAATTATGATTACGATCGCAATGAAAAACAGCAAAAAAGTAGAGGACAAAAACCAAACAGCCACTCAACAAACGCCAACCAGGAGTGAATTACCAAATAAACTACCTTAGACCGCTTTTCGATTGAGTGTCATAAAACCCAAACCAAAGTTATCACAACAGCCAATCATCGATCAGAAGTAAGAAAAGTACCCTAAAGAGCCAATGAGAACTCAAGTCGTGATTGGTTCAAGTTTTGCGTCTGTTGAGAGACTAGCGCGAGTTTCTTTGACCAATAACAGAGCGAAGTAAAGAAATAACTAAGAAATCCCGGCTTATTTTCGAAACTCAGTTGAAAAGTGCTTTAAACTATAATGATCTTACTAGTTCCAAAAATAATATCATGCTCAAAAAGACGGACTTGATTTGATTTGAATTGATTTCCAACGCCTCTTTCTAATCAACAGTAACGTTAGCGGTAAGGGTTTAGCGCTGTCCTGAGGAAAATTAGATCTAGCCTATTCACTCCTGCGGTGTATGGGGCCTTTTGCCTTTTTTCCTTACAGCTGTTTGCATTTTTTGAAAGACAGCATTATTTCATTTACGATTGTCTGTTCCAGAATGCTAAGCAGTCGATGTCTCCTTAACAAAAATTCCAATTTTAACAATTTGACCTATTGTCAAAGGAGAACTGCCACACCCATATCACAGCGACTTGTACCCATCGAAGACTTATTGTCCAAAAAGAACTACCACACCCATATCACGGCGACTTGTACCCATCGAAGGCTTATTGTCCAAAGAGAACTACCACACACATATCACAGCGACTTGTACCCATCGAAGACTTATTGTCCAAAGAGAACTGCCACACCCATATCACAGCGACTTGTACCCATCGAAGACTTATTGTCCAAAGAGAACTGCCACACCCTTATCACAGCGACTTGTACCCATCGAAGACTTATTGTCCAAGGAGAACTACCACACTCATATCACAGCGACTTGTACCCATCGAAGACTTATTGTCCAAGGAGAACTACCACACTCATATCACAGCGACTTGTACCCATCGAAGACTTATTGTCCAAGGAGAACTACCACACCCATATCACAGCGACTTGTAGCCATCGAAGACCTGCTGTCTCAGGAGAACTGCTACACCCATCTCACAGCGACTTGTATCCATCGAAGGCCCTATCGTCTAAAGAGAACTGCCACACCCATATCACAGCAACTTGTAGCCACTGGAGATCTATTGAACAGGGAGAACTCATACACCCATCTCACAGCGACTTGTGGCTATGGATAACCTATTGTCCAAGGATAACTGCCACACCCATATCACAGCAACTTGTAGCCATTGAAGACCTCTTGTCCAAGGAGAACTGCTATACCCATCTCACAGCGACTTGTGGCCACGGATGACCCATTGTGCAAAGAGAACTGCCACACCCATATCACAACAAGTTGTAGCCATTAAGGATCCATCTATTGCCCAAGGAGAACTGCTACACCCATATCACAGCGACTGGTAGCCATGGACGTCATTAACGTCCACTCCTGGATGGAAGGGTCATAGCTCTCGCACGAGTCCAAAAGAGACACACCATCATAGCCACCTACAGCAAACAGTTTCCCACAGATAACCGCTGTCCCCACATAGCACCGGTTGGACTTCATATTTGCAACGTTCATCCACTGATCATTGCAAGGACTGTAACATTCGACAGATGATAAATGTTGGCTGCCATCATAGCCACCGACAGCATACAGCTGCCCATCAAGGACTACTATCCCAGCACCTAATTAAGAAGGAACCAGTCATTATTTATTATCGCCAGGGGAGGGGGGGGCTGGATGATTTTGGGGGGATCACATGGTTTTCAGGGGGGAACGGAAGGGGGATCGGTCATCGTCTGAGTATAAAGACGGGACCATAGTAATTGACTGCCAATTATTTGCCAGGTCGGGGGAGATCATGAGAAAATCTGACAGCCTGATGGGAGGATCAGGTAAATTTTATAGTGACACAACCAAAATCCTTCTCCCACAATTCCGTTCAGTACCGTACTGGGTAATTTAAAAGTCCCTCGATCCTCGATACTCGATCCTCGATACTCGATCCTCGTTTCCTCGAGAGTTTGGAGACAGGAAAACAAAAAAATTTTCACGCGATTCATTTTTCACACGACCAGAAGCTTCTTACCTTTGCACTAACTGAAAAGATAAACATTACAAATTACAATCCCACTTGTCAGCATGTTAAAGAAATGCACAGTAGAACAGTATGGAGAATATGCACACTGATGTTCAGATGTAAAGGGTAACACATTTCAGCCATACCTGATCTTCTGGTACTCATTGGAGACAAGCCGGTCCATTGTCCTGTTCTGGGATCAAACCTTTCGATGCTGTTTAAAATGCTGTTTCCATCATAACCACCTACACAGTATAGCACACCGTCAAGATTAGCCAGTCCAGCACCCTCTCTGGGCGCTTGCATCTCACTCACCAAAGTCCATCTGTCTATCGTTGGCTCATAGCATTCAACACTAGTATGTCTTGTTGTGCCATCAAATCCCCCAGCCACAAAAATCTTTCCTGAAATTCAAAGCAAAAAGGTTGTCTCCAGCTAACACTACAGTATAAACCTATCTACAACTAATACATATCTCTTACCAACCGAGTGCAAGGGCCGTATTGTAAGTTACGGACCCATGCCCAGTTTTTTCCGCTCAAATTTATGACCCACGCTCCTCCCGCTTGCGGCATAAATCCGAGCGGAAAAAAAACGAGGTTCCGTAACTAAACCGAGAAAACGATGTTGGTAAGTTAGTTACGATATCTCCGAGTCAGAATACAGAGAAGAAAATTCCAATTTTAAATCTGGCGTACAGATTTCTATACACATTTCAATGTTCTCTCGTTTAATAAACGACAGAGTCGTTATTTGTTATCCTTTTCTTTGAAACTTTGCGCGGGAAATTGGCGCGCTGCCGGCCTGAATGACCCCCTCGCGCATGCCCGACGTGTGACCGCTGCGTTACCGTAGTACAGCCTCCTCATTTTATAAATACGATGAACCCAATTTAATCACTCCTAACAGCTCACTGATACACATTTTTACTCCAGGTTGAGAGACGCATTGTGATGGTGAAGTGTCTTCGAAAGAACAGAACAAATTGACACCCGCCAGGACCTAAAACAAAACCCTGGTCTGCCCTAAGTCTTTCCACCCTCATCAGTTTGCAAGTTCATCATACTGTTCTCTATACATTTACAAGGAGAATTTGTCAAATAATCAAGCGCCCCTCGAGTTTGCGATCATTTCCTTTATTCTCATGACCTTAATGTTTTATTCAGGGGTGATACCGTTAGGAGAAATTAGATGCTTATCACTCTTAAGGTGTAAAGGGTTGATAGTATTAGGCTGCCATATTTCTTTGTGATACCAAAGCATCCTGTCATAAATCTGCCAACCTCCTAAAGTTGTCGCTCCTGCTAAACCTCGTCTCTGTAACATAGGAGTCATTGCGGACCACTGGGATGTCGATGAATCAAAGCACTCAACAGTATTGAGACGACTTGAGGCATCGTAGCCACCAATAGCGTATAGCCTTCCATTCAGAGCAACAGCACTTAAATACCGTCTTTTTCGTCTCATTGGCTGAAAGACATAAATGCCACGGTCAGCAAGTAACGATGACAAGTATTTTTGTGAGATTAGAAATGTTATATGCTGTTAAGTCAATTCATTAAGTCCCTTTTTTATGTGCTGCTTGTTCTACTTCATGTAAACATGTAGAGAAAAAGGGCCCAGTGTGGAGAATATGAAAACAGTCGAACCTGTATTAACCTTCTAACTCCAAGAAGTGATTAACATAGAACTTCTCCCTATAATATCCATACATTATCCTGCCAACAGGTATTGAGAAAACTCTAACTTATCAGGTAGAAGTTTTTGTCTTGATCTAACACTAAATTCTCTCAACTGATTTACAAGGAAATGTGTAGCAGCTAGAGGGGAGAATTAACAATCAGATCTTGGGAGTTTAAGGGTTAAGCAGTCACCCACCAGGAATGGCTGAATACAGATTGACTGCTACATACATGCACATGTTCCACAGAAGAGGGGTATTTTCAAAACCGATAAAAATTGCCATTTTATTCCCTTACTGACACTTAATGTACAAAAACTCACTCATAAATACTGCTAACATTAATTGTGGGAGACAAACATGATTTACATTTTACTTGAAAGATTATTCTTAGCTGTATTTTAGTGGTTTCCACTTAAAGTGACTGTTCAACAAAGGTGGAGGACAATACAAAAAGGCAGGCAGGACTCAGTAAAGGGTAACCGTGAATGCTTAATAGAGGTCAAAATTATTTTAATTAAGGGGTAACAATGTCAGGAATTTGGAAACCAACTGCTAAACCCTTTAACTCACATGAACGACCAAAACAGAATTTCTCCTTGCAATTTCAATACAATATCAACCAGATATGTGAAGAGAATAAAGAAAAATGTACATTTGGGGATGATTAGTTGATCCAATATTATATTCTCTGAACTAACATAAAAATTGTATGGTTGACAGTAAGGAGAATTACAATTTTGATGTGGGAGTTAAAGGGTTAATACAGGGTGACCGCTTAATGCAGTGCAGCTAAATACAGGTTTGACTGTATCAATTTTTAGGATGTAAAAGGTTACTTAAATGTATCCTTGGCACAAGTGTTTGTAAAGCTACCCTCCAGAACAGGATGTGAATGTTTCCCATGCATTGGCATACAGGCCATGTCTCTTATATGCAGCTAAAACAAAAACAATTTTTGCATGTTTGAAATTTCTTTTATAATGTTTTGATGTGATTCACTATGAGTAACCTGCTGAAGTTTACCTGAACAATGGACCACTGATTTGCTGCAGGATCATACTTCTCAACAACATCAACTGGAGACTGCAAGTTTCCAAAGCCTCCCAGTACATACATCACTTCTGACAGGCCAATACGTGACTTGGTTCTGTCATTTTGCATTGCTTGACGACACTCAGGCCTCAAGTGGTATTTTTTAGCTTCATCTACCAAATCTCTACAGTCAAGGTTTTGTCTTATCAATTGCTGTAAAGTCAACCATGGACATAATACTGCAGTTAATGACAATATTGAATATTAACTAATATTAATAATAATCATAAAAAGAATAAAGACGGCTATTGGGTTGTCATTAGAAAATAAACTAGATGTTTGATCCGAACTGAGTACTGAGGCTGCTGAATTGAATTATACTTGTATAGGAGGCATAGTGTCCTATAAAGCAACATGCCCTTCTAGGGAAGGGTTAGTGGGCATGTTCCCCTGCCCCTGAAAAATTTGAAATTTGCAACTCTCTGAGACATGAACTTTAGCATTCTGGGATATATTTGTGATGAATAACTTTTTTTAAGCCAGCCATTGATGTTAGAATCAGTTAAAAAATACTAATTTTCTGTCTTTCATCACAATTTGCAAGGTAGCTAGCGCAAAATAGTCTGACAACTAATGGTTTCTGCTATAGACTGATTTAAATGACAACTTAGAATAAAAAATGATCATGACACATTTAGTAAAAGTACTTGCCTCGCCATCAACAACATCTGTCAAGTATCGTGGAGTGAGAAGAGGTAAACGAACAAACTCCAACATTTTAGGCAACATTGCCTTCCTCTTCACTTCATTTTGTTTGATCCAGGAAATGAGTGCCTCAAAAACTGCCTCCTCAGATGGCACCTGTCAATTTTACATCAATAAACAAGGTTCAAATTGAAGTACATATCTGGTACATGTCATACACCTCTACCGAAAAGCTTAAAATGCACAGATTGTGTTAATTTGCCAAGTTGAACATTTTTACAATAATCATGGTAAAAGTAAGAGAGTTCTTGGCAAAACTCTCAGTCTGGAAATTGTTTCAAGCTTGGAGGAAGGCTTGATCTTTTAACAATGTACAGTATTAATAAATAAATGGTAAAATTGTAGTAAATATATGACCAAAATCTTGAAAAATTGACGATTTTTTCTAGTTGATTCATAGGATTAAGCTGGCAGGGGTTTGAGTCACACAGAGTCCAGTTAGTACTAACAATACAAATAACTTACAGTTAAATTGTCACATTTAATGAGTGACACCAGATCCTCATTGTCAAGTTGCAGGAACTCCTCACTATCCACAAGCTCAACAAAGTGTTTCAGGATGTATTTTTCAGCAGCTTTTCTTAGCTCTTCACATCCATGGGTCTCAGCAAATGCCTTGATACCTAAACAATTAGAGGGATCCAACTGCTCTTCTAGAAAATCACAACAAGCTTTTTGCACACCTGTAAAAGAAAGTGAATTTAATTCCATTAGCACCCATCCAATTTGACACAAATAGTTGCACATATTCAGAGGGTGGGGGAGGGGAGACAAATAGTTGCACAAATTCAGAGGGTGGGGGGGGGACAAATAGTTGCACAAATTCAGAGGGTGGGGGGGGGAAATAGTTGCACAAATTCAGAGGGTGGAGGGGGACAAATAGTTGCACAAATTTAGAGGATGGGGGGCTTAATAGGATGACAAAAATCCTCTAATCTGCTCTTAAGTGCATGGCCTAATCTATCAATCTGACAGTCACTGATATCTCTATCTCTATGTCTATAACATCTTAACCCCTTAGATTGATGGGCATCTAATTTCTTCCAACAGTATCATCCCTGAATCAAACATGGAGGTCATGAGAATAAAGGAAATGATTGCAAACTCAAGAAACTCTTGATTGTTGCACAAATTCTCCTTGTTAGGACCCAATGGAATGTGTACAGAACAGTAAGGAGAACTGGCAAACTGATATTAGGATGTAAAGTGTGAAGGCATATGATTGAGTGTTCAATATGGATCACTTGCCTACCTTATACAGTTTTTAGATTGCACCAGAATATTTTGGTCTCTACTTGTGTTGGAAGAATTACACGTAGCATTAACCCTTTAACCCCTAAGAGTGACAAACATCTAATTTCTCCTTACAATATCACCCCCAAATCACACATAAAGGTCACAACAAAAAAGGAAATGATCAGTAATGATAGAAGCTCTAGATTGTTAAACAAATTCTCCTTGTCAGCCCCTTAGGAAATGTATTGAGAACAGTATGGAGAATATGTTTACTGCTGTTAGGGCGTAAAGAGTTAAGCATGTAGAGACTAAGTTGCTGAGCCATCAGGAAAGTTTCTAATTTTTCATAACTTTCTTTATGAACCAGATAATGTGAATGAAAGTGATCCTCGCAGTAATGTGCACTACTTAGGCAGTAATGAAAAATAATTCACGTCTTTATCCGCAGTTCAAATATATGACTTTCATATATTCTTAAACGAACCAGATAATGATACTATAACAGATACATTTAACTTAGCAGAGCTAACAAACAATGAAGAATACCATCAAAAAATCCAACTTCTAAAAAGAAAGAATACAGAATCCTTGCCACAATTTTCATTCCAAGGAACATGTTCATGAACAGGGAATTTTTTGTTAAATCTGGGAATTCTTATCACTTTTCTGCTTGATATTGTATTGATCTGGTAATGAGAAAGTATGTCTTGGTCACTGCTGGGAATAAAAGGGTTAAACAACTGTTAAACAAACCTGTCAACTGTAGAAGACATGCAGCAGGAAGCAGGGCTTGTACATTCTCAACACTAACTTGAATTGTCTCAGTATATACAAAGTCCAGAATAAATTCCATAGTGTCTGAGTCTAGACCATGAAGTTCAACCACAGACTTGTGACTTTCCTCCATGTTGCCAGTAAACATGGCACAGAAATAATCACTACAAGCACTCAGGATTACACGGTGGGCAGAAAACTCTTTTTCTCCAACTTTTAAAGTGATATCACACAGCTTCCTTTCCTTTCGTAGTCTGTTGATAGACTTCAACAGGTGATCTGAGTGTCCACATCTTAAATATTTTAACTGGTTTTCATGATCTTCTGCTAAATCAGCCATCACCGTTATGCTGCCTTCAATAGCTGTTGATCACCAAAAACATCAAACATGAAATGACAAAACAGTAAAACAAATGGTGAAGGTAGTGATTCATTAGTGTCTGTAAATGTAACTTCTCAAAAGTGAGCACCTCCTTAGCTCTTCAACTTTAACTCGCAAGATCTGATTGTTACATGGATTAATTCTCTCCCCCATGGAGCTGCTAAACATTTTCTTGTAAATGAGAGGTATGTTGCTATCACCTACTGGTGTTAGATCAAGATAAAAATGTTTTTCTGATAAGTTTTAATATTCTCATTACCTGCTTACTGTGTGTCGAATGGTTATCATAAAGAAGAAGTTACATGTTAGTCACTTTTGGGAAATACAACTAAAAGGTTAAAGAGAGAAACCATAGGCTGGAATTCAATTGGGTTTTATCAGTGCCTGCAGACTGATTTTTCTCAATCTAGTTGACCTGAGTAGTTACAGAAAGTTTGAAATATGAAATGTAACATACAGAAGATCACTCAGTACCGCTCATGATTAGAAATACGTCAACCAAAATACTACAAAAAATGCACATAAATTTGAAAGAAAGTGCGTATAAATGTAACTTTCAGACATGTATTCACATCTAAATGGCGCAAATATGCGCATAAGGATAATTATACGCATCTGCATATCTCATTAGTATGTACGGGCTAACTTAGCTGTTTTCAATAAATATGTAAATTTTCAGATGTCAGCTCGTTGCTTTTTTCAGACCCAAAATTCCTTCTTTTACACAACAATGTTACAGTGACACAAATGAACTTATAATATTGAACAACAAAGACACATCAGTTGCGCATGTATACCGAATATACGCATATATTTTACTATTCATCGATGAACTCGATCAGTTCCTGAGCTTAACGTTCGGATCTCTGGAATCTTATCTCCAACAAACCAAACCTTCACAATACCTTTTCAGCTTTCCTCTTCCACAATAATTCACGAGGTTAAATGAGTAAAATAACTGCCTTGTTGTTATACAATAATTAAAGATAAGTGGAAGGTATAGATACGCAACACTAACATCGAATGTTTACCATCCCCACGTCACATTTGCAGTTTCTCAGCGGCTTTACACAATATGTAAATAAGTAGGTGGTGTAGCAGTCATATAGTGAGTTGTAGACTCATGGCATAGAGCCTTCGAAATTATAGAAAATAGCCGGAAATATTTCCCGATTTCCTTTATCAGTGAAATAGAGGCTGGGATGTCTAAGCTGATGGGTAAACGAGAATTAAAAATGGTTGCTCAAGTACGTGCCTCAGGCGACGTCTCTTGCCGAAATTTCCACATTCACAGATAAATAGCACTCTAAAGTCTATGATAAAATGGAAATCGGCGACAAAAGAATGAAGTTTGTTATTGAGATAATAAACAACTCGAGCTGGAAAAACAAACTTTAAAGAGCACGATCTTTATAGATCGCAACAAATGTATAAGGTGAGAAACTTTCAAGCAAATTAATGACTGCCATTCATTTAGTTATTTGATAACCGTGACCAGCTGTCGACGTCACGCTATTTCTAAGTCTTCTGAGCCAAAATAAACCGATCGCGTTCAAGAAATGACTTATCAAGAAATCGAAACAACCTATATAATCCAAGCTATTATATGTCGATGAGGAACTACTAAGCGATCCTAAGGATCGGAAATTTATAAATCTTATGTATAACGCTCAGTTTACGCTCGGCTTCCTTTACAGGTTAAAGGAGATCTACGGAAAGAAACAGAAAGGTATACGGGTTCAAACAAAAACAACCCCTACCATAATAGTTGCTACAGTCATAGGTTTTTGAATTTCCGTAACTTTCCCTGATAAACGTGAATTTGTCTGACCGATTAAATAAACAATTTCACGAGCGAATCCTGCAAATGACTTCGACCCTCCCCCTCACAGCCACTAGTTCCACCCATAAATTAAAACTTTCAGGAAGGCACGTACAGTGTACATGAATTAATAATTCCTCGAGGCAACGTGGAAAAAGATTTCATTTTCTTGAAAACCCAACATAAGCATTTTTTTACCAATCCGATATCTTTCATTTCCATGAAATGCACTGAAGAAAAGGAAAATGTAGGATTTCATTCAAAAACCATCTCCAACTTGCATTACCAACGGAAAAGATACGGTGGTCAGCAATCTGTCAACTGTTCTCACAAGCAATGTACATAAGCAACATCAAAAATGAAAGTGTGAACATCTTTCATCATGAAAACGGCCAAGACAGGATAAAAAACTTTATATTTATTTGATATTTCACTTTTGCCGGACTTTTTCCCAAAGATATAACTTTTCCCCGACTCAAAATTAAATTTCCAGACTTTTTTTCAGGTCTTCTGAGTGATCCATTTTCCCTAAATTTTCCTGAGCTGTGTAGCCATGCCTAGTTATCGTGACAGAGACGAAACACTATTTCTTTTTTAAATAGCCTCTGGTTAACCACAAAAACAAAGCTGTGGCTAAATGCCCAGTTGCCGGGTACGGTCTCAGATAGACTAAATATGCCCGGCAGTCAGAAATTTTTACAGAATTTCCATTGGAAGGTTCCTCGTAATTTCTTAAGAATGTCAGATGTTTATTTAAAATTGTCGAGCGACTCCAAAAATTTATTTTTTTTCGTGGACAAATTCAATAATATCGCTCGGTTGTCGACACTTAGAAATTCAGACTGCCAGATTCGGTCTCGAATAGACTAAATGCCCGGTAGTTAGAAGTCTCAGGCCATTCTTACCACTTCGCAGTTTAATTTGTTATGACTGCGGTGACTGTTGTTTGCCTCCTCGGACCTCTTGACCAATCTATGACGTATGAAGCTAAAAAGGTCCATTGAAACCAAATAGACACCATAGACACGTGATTTTCTACACTGACCGCAGTGCTGACCCCCGGGGGAACGAATCATGAAGAATTGGGCAATAGGAATATCCCGACCTGGATTTGCAGCTTATTGGGCTTTTAAGCCGTGTTCTTTTATAGCATTGTGGAATTGATCTTACGGAGAACATCTGAGGTAAATTTATAATTAATTTTCATGTTATAAGTCAATGGATGATGCATAATGCTAGAAAATCTACACAGTGTCACCGAATTTTCTTGTTCAAATCGTGATTATCCTTGCGAAACGAAGGAAAGAGAGAACTCTATCTGGTTTTCTGTTTATTTTTATTTTTTTGTTTCACTTTGGGTTACTAGAAAAATAAAAAAACATGGTTTTCATCCCTCCCAGTTTTAATTTGAAAACTAGTATTAATTTGAAACTAAACTCTGTTTAGAAATTTAAATTTCGTCGTAAAGAACTCAATCATCATTTTTTCATGTCCTTGCTCAGTATGAATTTGCAATTTGTGCAATCACCTGATTAGTCTCCAATTAGTAGCATGGTAATTTATGCACCATTAGAGTCACTTTCAGTTTATGAGAAAAACTGAGACGAAATGGAGGCCAATTTACAAACTTAGAGAGTGCAGGTTGAGATGTGATCCGAAATAAAATAACAGCAGATATGTTGACCTCTCTGCTACTTCCTTGTGGCTTTTAAATTTTCACTTAGTTTAACAAATCTCCTATTTATGTGTGAAACAGGCTACATATTTTTTGTCGTTTTACTGCTGTTGGTGCTGCTGTTGAGAATTCCTCAGTAGAAGTTTTATTGGGAAACATCACTCTTAATTGGGTGATGTGCATGCTTGTAAATTACATACATAGGAACTCAGTACACAGACAGTCTTGCATAATACTTGCGATCAAGCCAGCATGCTCACTTAGTACAGGCAACTTAATATCAGCCGAGTGTTGTGTATAGTTGTACTTTTAGTTGCTTTTCCTATCACTAGTAAAAGTACAGTGATGCTAAACTCATGCTAGCTGTGCACTTTACCCTTCACACCCCAACATCAGTGTGCATATTCTCTGTACTGTTCTCCATACATTTCCTAAGTTGCTGAGAAGGAGAATTTGTTTAACAATCTAAAGCTCCTTTATTTGGTGAACATTTCCTCTATTCCTGTAATCTTGATATGTGATTCAGGGGTAATTTGCAAGAAGAAATGAGATTCTATTGTTACTGGTAGGGGTTAAAGATTTAGAGATCACTTAGCAATCTAAAATCAGTTGCTCAATTGCTTAGCTTGTTAGTGAATGACATACCTCATTTGCACTCTTAGAAGCCCTTTGTCCCAAAGGCTTCTTACAGTCAGGTTAATATGTGGTTTAGAATCAGTCTTAAGAACCATCAGCCATTGGCCCTCGTACATGTAGCAGTCTTTTCCATTTCCTCTCAGCCAAGAGAAGGAGGCTTGAGCTAAGTAGCAGAAATTGGAGCTTTAGACTTTCCCTTTATTGCTTTTTATCTTTTGCTGTCTGTCCTAGTATGCTTTCATGTGAGTCCCATTTTAGGTCATACTTCTCCTACTTTGTCCTAACCCTTTAACTCCCATGAATGACCAAGACAGAATTTCTCCACACATTATCAACAGAATATCAAGTAGACAAGTGATGAGAATAAATAAAATATCAATGAAAGGATTATTTGTTGATCCAATACCTAATTCTCAAACTAATATCATAAGAACTGCATGGTAGAAGGTGAGGAGAATTACTCATGAGATCTTCGGAGTGGAAGGGTTTAGGAAGTGGAAAATAATTCACTGTAATTAGTAATGTAAACCTTGTATTTTGCTCTACACCTTTTTTGATAGGTCACCTGATCATGACAAGTGTTGTAAACAAAGCTATTTTGGAGCTTACTCCATCATCAACTGAAGAAGATGCAAAAGAAACTTATGATGCTTGGGCTGCAACTTATGAAAAGGTTAGTAGGGTTATTAATCAGCAGACTGTAAGTCTGAACTGTTGGCTAAGTCAGTACTTGTGCTATGACTTGTCAATTTAACAGGAAGTATTTCACAATTTCCTCCCCACTCTTTGAATTAGAAAATATTTATCGCAGAACCTCACTTTTTTCAGCTTGGATTTATGGCCTGTATGCTTCTTGCTTGGGCCATAAATGCAAGCAGAAAAAACTTAGTCTGTAACATACAGTACAGAGCTCAAAATTGTTTTGTAAGAATTTTGTTTTGCAGTATTTTATAATCAGCCATTTGTTTCACTGTTTAATAGGATACAGATGAACATGGGTATAAGGGCCATGTCTTATGTATGGAAGCTTTCAACAGAGCCATGCAGTCTGAAGAGATCTTTCCTGGTGCAGACAAAAACTTAAAGATCCTTGATGCTGGAGCTGGTACAGGCATCATTGGTGAGATGCTGGTTAAACAAGGCTATACAAATGTTGATGCCTTGGATATTTCACCAAAAATGTTAGATATTGCTGAAAAGAAGAACATTTACAAGCGACTTATCTGTGCACCTTTGAGTGATGTTCGCATAGACCAGATACAGACTGCTGAATATGATGTGACATTGTGCGCAGGCACCATCGTTTATGGTCAAGCCAAGCCTGTGGCACTGGATGAGTGTATACGTCATGTAAGACCAGGTAAATATAGGGCACTTGAATGTATCCCACAGTTAACCCTTAAACTCCCAGTAGAGATTAGCATGCGACTTCTCCCTAAAACATCCATACATTATTCAGCAAACAAGTGATGAGAATCCTCAAAATTATCAGGTAGCTGTTGTTATCTTGATCTAACACCAAATTCTTGTAACTAACTTGCAAAGAAATGTGTCGCAGCCAGAAGGAAGAATTCACAATACGATATTGGGAGTTAAAGGTTTAAGATAGGAGGGTAAAGTTTATGGTTAAGCCAAGTGGTCCATCCGGCCAGAGTTTATCCCAGTTTCCATAGCATGAGGTGACTAGAAGTATACCACCCCCCTGGATGGGATGCCAATCCACCACAAGGGTACCCCCAGTATTTTAACCCTGTAACCCCTAAGAGTGAGTAGCATCTAATTTCTCCTTACAATATCACCCCTGAATTGCACATGAAGGTTGTGAGAAAAGAGAAAATGATCACCAGCCAGAGAAGCTCTTGATTGTTAAACAAATTCTCCTTGTTGACACCCAAGGAAATAAAAATAGAACAGTATGGAGAATATGCAAACTGATGTTAGGGTGTAAAGGGTGAAGAGACCTCCCTGACAATTTGCCGACACCCATATACGCTTATGGGTGGAGAGGGGCTCTGTGAAAGTGTTTGACCCTAGAACACAATGCATTGACCAGGCCAGCCTTGAACCGCGACCTCTGTGACTGGAGTCCAACACACCAACCATTAGCTAGCAAATCTCCCACATCCCACAGACAAGCCTGTTTTTTGATAGCCTGGTTTTTAATAGTGGCACAAGCACAGATGTAAATTAGCACAAACATAAACATAGCAGCTCTTGAAAATTGATTAACATTGAGCTGTGGAAGGTGCTATGACATTAGATTGTTAACAACATATTCAAAAAGCTTTACTTTTGGAATTAAAAATCCTGACCCTTGCTTGTGCTTTCATCAATTTTTGTATTATTTGCATTTATAACTCTTGTGCTTTTGCCAGTGAAAACCTGGCTGAAACAATCCAAATGATGTGCTGATAAATATAAATTGGAATTGTGCAACTGAACACCAAGGAAATAAAACTGGGATTGTAATTTTTTTCCTTAACTTTCAATTAGGCACCTGAGGAACTTAACCTTTTGGAGTGCTTTTTAAAGATGGGGAAGGAGAGGGGGGCTCTTAAACAGAGAGAAGGGGTTTTTTGCAGTTACTAGGACATACTGGTATTGGGCTTTTAGCTTTTACACTTAATAATATTGATCTGTTTCACATGTATTTCTGCCCAAGTACTTTCACCCCTAAGAAGGACTAGCATCTAATTTCTCCTTACAATATCACCCCTGAATCAGACTTGAAGGTCATGAGAATAAAGGAAATGATCACCAAATAAAGAAGCTCTTGATTGTTAAACAAATTCTCCTTGTCAGCACCTTAGGAAATGGAGAATATTCAAACTGATGTGCCAGGGTGTAAAGGGTCAACAAAACTCTCCTTAACACTAATATGAGTATTTTGTTTCATTTTAATTTTAGGTGGATTGTTTATTTTCTCTATTCGAGCAGATTCTTTTGACCCAAAGGAACTTGGTTATAGCACGAAGTTTGAGGAGTTGGAGAAGTTAGGAAAATGGAGCCTTGTAAACAGGGAGCTGCGTGAGCTGTATTCGAACCCCCATGAGGAACGCTATAGAAATTGTTATTTGATCACTTACAAAGTGCTTAAAAATTGACCAACTAGCTCGTATCACAGTAACTTTTCTCAAAATTAAAGGCTGCACCACAGCTGCTTCATTTTAGCCGACTTTTCTCATTCTCTATTGAAACATTATTTCTGATCCTCTGCTTTGGTCCAATGAAAAGAAAATTTGATTTATAGGACAGTTTTTCTGTGTGATGATAAATGAAACAAATGTGAAGTGATTGGAATTTCAACTGTAATTGCGGTACATAATCAGACTCGAATTGCAATCATCGTCTCCAAAAGAACCACAACAATTGATAGAAGCTATTTGTGGTAAGGAGGGGAGGAGGGTAGGTAGGGTTTTTTTTTTTTTTACAATCAAATATGGCTCCTTTGAAAAGTACTTTCTTAAACCTGCACAGTAAAGCAATTTCCCTAGATGTGGCGTGTAGCCACAATTTAAAAAATTGAATTTCAAATTAGTTAGCGTTAAACTCAAAATAAATGTCCATTATTGAGAAAGCTGTCCAATTCTTTAAATAGTCCAATCAAATGAATATGAAAGTGATCTTCGCATCAATGAACACTACTTCTAAAAAGAGAAGTGAAGATATAGCCTGAAAAAAAAAGTTCAGGCCTGCACGGGATTTGAACCCATGACTTCTGCAGATTCGCTGCAGTACTCTACCAACTGAGCTAACAAGTTAATTGGTAGCTGTTTACTATGTTTCAAAGTTCATAAATTGCAAATGCATTTTATAGTTAAGGTTTTTTACGTCTTTAGGAGTGTATTTTTCATCATAAACTTTGATTTTATCGTCTCTATCGAGAAGTTTTGGAAGTGGCGTAATTTCTGTGAATCGCGACTCTTTGCAAAGGACTAAATCAGTGCCAAAGCAAATTATTTTCTCTTGATAAGGAAGAACTGTTTGACTTGCAATTTGAAATTAACAGAACCTTCTCAAATCTTACAGAATATATAATAATTGTTGTATTTTCCTCTTTGCTAATGATCTCAAGGTTTTCTTTTGCAGCTGCAGGGCCTCGAGGCTCTGTAACCCAGCACAAGCGGTCAAACGTCAGGCATGCGCGAGGGTATCATTTCTAGCCGGGTGCGCGTCAATTTCCCGCGCGAAATTTCAAAGGAAAACATAAGAAACGACCGCTGTCTCGCAAAATGAGCGAAAGAAAATTTGAAACGTCCCTAAAAATCTGTAAATAGACACAAAAATAGGGAAATTGAAAATTCGAGACTTTTCAAACACAAAGCTTATTCAAGTCTGGGTATCCTGTTGATTTATCACTCTGTTTTGAGCTTTACCGAAAAAGTTACACGTTTTTAAAACACAGTGATTTACTGGCTTGTATGTTTGTTTGTAACTCGGGTGACACAACTTGGTTCTGACAGCCTGAAAGCACCCCATTTAGTCATTGCAAAGTTTGAAATCGCTCTGTTCCGTAACCCCGCCAATGAAATTGAGAAGACGTTAATCACGTTCTCTAATTTTTGCACGCGCGACCGACAGAATGCAAATTCTGAAATAATTACTGAGGTAACAATTGAAAACAACCGACACTCTTAAAGTATTCTTGACATAAAGGAATACTTTACTGCTACCTTTTCCCTTGTGAAACGTAGAAGGAAAGAAGAAAAACAAATCGAACAGTTAAGCCGAAAAAAATGTCGCTCGATAGTCTTGAAAGCGGTCAGTCGCCAGAAATATCGCTGTTTTTGGGAGAGTATGAAGGAGAACGAAATGAGAAGGACGAACGGCATGGGTTTGGTCGTGCTCTGCTGCCGAATGGAGACGAGTACGAGGGAGATTATAAGAATGGCAAAAGAAATGGTAATGGAAAATATACATTCCTCAAGAGTAAAGCAAGGTAACTTATTGTTATTCATCTGCTGACGCGAAATTGGTGGTTTTCCTTCTCTTGGCACGATAGCTATTTAGAGAAAAGTCTATGTTCGCGTGCATAAATATGTTTTGGGACCGACTCAGAGTCATTTTAGCCCGATCCGTTAGGCGAGGGAGAATTGACTCTAAGGAGGACTCCAAGACATTATAATGCCCAAGAACATAATTTGTATTACTAAATTTATCACTTTGGAGGACATCGAGACGATAAGAACTGAAAGCATGACCAAAGAACCAGTATGAACAATCACGCGAGCGGGCTAAAACACATTAAGAATAAACCTGTGAGGCCAAAACATCCCCGCATAGTCCTTATACCAAATAAATTCCTCTCAACAGATACGAAGGAGAATACAGTAACGGCCAAAAGTGTGGTCAAGGAAAATTCTGGTATCCTGACGGGTCAATTTACGAGGGAACCTGGGCCGAGGGTCTAAGGAACGGTTATGGCAAGTATACTTATGCAAACGGGGACGTATATGAAGGGATGTGGAAAGATGGCCGCAAACATGGACAGGGAGAGTATATCTACAAGGATAAAGGAATTAGATACCGGGGTAATTATAACGTGAATCGCAACTGCTCTTTTGAAAACAGAAAGTCGTAAATACTTTGATTTAATTCAAGCGGGTCCGTTGTGCGCAAATTAATTTTTAATAAATCGTCATTTATTATACACGAGTAAATCTTCGAACCACAAGCTAAATACTAGACTACAAGCAGTTCTTCCTTGTCGGTGAAATATATTGCGCGAGTCTAAGGGAAAATCATGTCAGCGCACCGCGTGAAACTATTGGAGTGATGCTCAGTCCCATACCTCCGCACAGATTGGCTTGATTAGCTTTCCGAGTTTAAAGGCAAAAAAAAAAGAAATGCTATAAATTTTCATGGTGTTCACAGTAAATTACTGGCAAGCCAATACATAGTATGAAATTCTAAGAAGGCTGAAGTACTAGGGCACCGTTCAAGCGCAAAAAAAAAAAAAGGCGAAGCACTTTTTAACCAACAAGGAAATGGGTCATAAGTGCTGCAACGACATGAAAATTTAAAACAGGATGGTATCATTAAATTCACATCAGATATCATTCAGAAAGAGAATTAATTCACCAAAGATCATGTTTAACTGCAGTACGCATGGAACAGTATCTTTCTATTTTCCTTGAAAGGATACATCTGTTTTATATATAGAACATTGCGCGTTTCACAACCAACCGTTAGCGAGTAAAAACACTGTAACTTTTGATGAAGTAGTCACAGTAGAAACAAGACATTAACGCTGTTGATTGTTTTCCAGGTAACTGGAGCGATGGCATATCTAAAGACCATGGAAAACTTATAACCTCAAGCTTCACATATCATGGGACATTTTCCGGTGAGGAACCAGTTGGGACTGGAAAGTTTCATTTTGATGCGGGCTGCGAGCAGGAAGGTGAATATGTGACCAAGCGAATGGTTCGATATACCGATGCCTCCAGAGAAGTTTTCCACGTCCCACACTGGAATTGCCTTTCTTTGTACAAGGCAGGGTCGAGACTCGATAAGCCTTTGGACTAATAAGTTCATTCACGATATATCATGTAAAAGTCTTGACTGGTATTTTCTGACAATGTCTGTTGATTCAACTCTAAGCAAATGCACTATTTCGAACGCCTTTCTTTTTTTTGAGGAAACCAAATATTGAAAATTAAAAATTCTTTATTAATCAGGCTCTCTTGTCTTTCCCCTTCACCCTGGTATATCAAACGTATTTGCCCAAGTCTGCACCGCTTACGGGGAAGGTATGAAGCTCATGCATAAAGAGATTTTAAATTGTTCTTTATTGTTTATTGTAAAAAAATATAATTCTCTCTATCTATACACTGGATTATCTACACTTAGAGAGTTAAAAATTCATCTGTCAACTATAAATCTAAACGAAAAATTCTGTTTGGCACATAAATACTTGATGCATTGGTATGATATCTCAGCGGCCTGAACTCTTAGTTCTAAAATAAGGGAAATTTGGCATTTCTAAAAGCGAGCCGACAAACGATCTTAAAACTTAAATCGCATTTGTCGGTAATTCGATTTGATTAAAACGGTTAAAAGCAGCTAAAGCAAGAGGATCAGTTTGGAAATTGCACCCTTAATTATTCGTTATTCCATAGTTTCATAATTGGCAAACTAAAATAGGTTCCAAAGTAACGTGTACTTTCACGGGAAATCATTCGGTGAGAAAATTAAAAGGTTTCAATGGGGTTTTTAGCTTGTAGGCGTAAAAATTGATAAACTTTAACCGGTGGACGTTAAAAAAGTTAACCGTAAAAAAAAAAGAAAAAAAATTCGAAAGAAAGTAAATATCAGCCGTTAGATGTAAATTGGCCAAACTTTTAACCGTTAGCTGTAAAAGCCATTACCCCATTGAAACCATCAGATTAGTGAACAAAAGATTATACAAAGAGCTGCTTGCGTTTGGTGCTCACATTGTTGGGGTCTAAACTCATTAATAGCGTTTAAAATTATGAGGAGAGGACGATTCCTAAACGCCAAGACTTCCCACCTTTTCTCATTTATCTCAAGGAAAACGGGAACCTATTTGTAAAAGCTGCCTCACTTTACAGGATAGAAATTATGTAATACAGGCATCGATATATCAATTTTGCGATTAAATATGAAGAAATAACTCCCACCTAAAAAAACTATAAAAAAATTAGTCTCGTATCACGCATGGATATAATTAAGAGATAGGGTTTATGGGTAGAGTGATACACTCGATAACAAGAGATGCAGCGGTTATGTTAAATGAATAAATTTTTCAAAAATTAAAAAATCAAAGGATTCCTCCGGGCAAAAATTCATTCATTCAAGATAGCAGCCGTATCAAGTATTATGGGCAATATTTAAGATTATCATTCGATGAAAACAAAGTTGATCAAAAATGATTTTAAAAAAAATTGTTGCCTTAGAGCCGACGTAAGAATCATGAATGAGCGCTTTGAATCATGTTAATTAATGCTGATGTAAAAATATCCATAAAATATTTAAATTCCAAGATGTATCCAGCTTACAACACCAGAAGACTTCCACATCCCTTTCAAAAAAAATATCTCATAACCTCAACAAAAATTAAAAGGATTGCCTCTTTTGGCATAAATATTTCTTAAGTTGACGCTCTTTTAAACGCTACGAAAATGAAATAGATTATTAGCTTCTAATATAAAAATTGGCCTCGAAAGCTAACCTTCTTCTTCACCAAAAAGCATTTCAAGGTGATTTTATCTAAGTGACCCAAATTTTAAAAACTTTTTTTGTCAATGTATTGCGACCATTAGAACTGTCTATTTTTTTTAATATATAAATTTTCTTATTAAGCGCCAATATCTATACCACTTTTCTCATACTTGTCCTTACCCTCCGTTTCGTAATCAATGTCTTTTCACTTTAAATCTCGAGAAATTGACTTCAGTATTCTCCGATGCTCCTCTCTTATCAAACTACTGATAGCTCTGGCATCCATTAAAATAAATGTACCAATATTCACAGATTAGATACTGTGTTTACGCTTCGTCACAAATCCTGTTTCCATGTCTAGGTTGGCTTCGAGACGAAAGCTCATCTAGGCGATCCATGCTAATCTTTTACTCTCGCTCACATTCATTTTCGGGATTGTACATTTACCATCTAATCATGGTGAACTTTTCCAATTCTTGCCGGTTGCGACATATTTGGGAGATGTAATAATTGCGGTTTTTGTAGCTATGATTTCCTACATATTTGCATTCTACCTTGCGAAAGGGGTTATTGCAAGTTTTCATTACAAATTGTCGGCTCACACTCCATGATTTCTCACACGGCGTAATGGTCGAACGAGCTGAGGTATTCTAATGCTCTTTGGTAACAGAATAGGTATTGTTCCTGTTGGAGGAAGAAGCAAGAAAATATCAGAGATGCGCATTTCTTAACGTTCACTTACTTGTAAGTCAGTGAATCAGTCAGTCGGTCGGTCGGTCGGTAGGTCGAACAGTCAGTAATTCCGTCAACTTTAGTCAAACAATCAGTCTGTCAGTCTGACAGCCAGCTAGTCAGTCAGGGAGTCGGTTATTACCCAGACACGTAATGTAAATGAAATCTTCGACGAGAAGCAAAAAAGGCAGTTGAATTTGAAACAGCAAAATTTTCACTCTCAAAGGCAAGTTCACAAAACATAAAATAAGTACAGATCTTCCATACAAACCTTATTTTGAATCATGTTTGGCCTCTGCGTTCTAAGAAGTTTCACCGTCTGGAACAAATCTACCACTCCCTCAGAGCGCATGCGCTCTAGCACGATAGAAAGGGCGCAGAATACTCCAGTTCTACCAACACCATCACTAAGATAAAAAACAAGCGTTACGTGTGTAAATATCAAGTTAATTCCACGAGATAAATTCCATCAAGATAACTCTGGTATTTATACATATCGGAACTTTGGCCGACTCTGAGAGGTTTGAGAAACGTGAAAAGGCCGGAAGTAATTGATTGACTTTCCGCTCGGGAATGGCAAACCTTTCTGTTCCCACTATGCCTGAGATTCAGTGCAATGGAAAATACCCTTAACTTCATTTACCTGCAGTGCACTGTGATGGGGCCTTCCTCCTCTTGCTGTTCGTATGTTCTTTGTATTTGGCCTATTAACTCCAAGATACCCTCACCGCTCTTGGGGACACTTTCGGTCCATCCGTGAAAGTGGAACTGTTTTATGTTTCGTACATTGTCGTTCTATGAAATAAAGAGTGACAAAGATGAAATTGGAAGCAATATTCATTTTCTTGGTTAATCGTGTTCATCGTATTAAATAATACCACCTTAGCTCAATCATAAGACACGGACCTTGATGCCCTCAGGGTGCACGACATTTCCTCGAGCCAAATATTTTCCCGCCCGGAGCTTTTACTCAGTCAATAAGTGCAGAACATTTACTTACCATGATATCTTTAACCTTGAATTCTCTGATAACAAACTGAGGAAATTCTTGTTCAGACACAGGATCCACTATATAATACTGGTGCTTTGCGGAGCGATCAGTCGGCCAGTACTGGTAACAACGCTCCTAACGGGGGAGACGTGAGGAAGTTAAATGCAATAGCAATGATAAATTCACAACTTTTAGAAATAATAAAGTCTTACATAACCTAGTACAGGTTGCTACGAGCAGCGTCATTTGGTCAGAAGTTTAAGCAACACCATAAGGAGATAATGTAGTTGACTAAATTAGTATTCATAAATTGTAATAATTATGCAGGTCGTGCATAAATTTTTCGAAGCCCACCAATAAGCAAAGCCGTTACTGGGTGACTTTCCAAATTAATTCATATCAGTAATTATGCTCATCCATAAATTATTTTTAGCATACCCTGTCTCCTTCGTAAAGCTGCGTCAACATGACGACGATGTTTGAGTTATGTTCCATTAACATTCTCCAAAAGTCATCCACGGTTTCCTGCAAAGGACCCTGTGTGGCGATGTAAGCACCTCTCTGACGATAGCCCTGGAAAAAAAATTGATAATTCTGAATTAGACGAGGTTACACTCTCGCCTCATAGTTTTACGGTCAAAACTTATCTTGGTCTCTGATACATGAATGGATGCTTGTCCAATACAGTTTATCCCCTAACCCTACCCCTCCTTCCCTCCCCCCAGCATTTTGTCAGACTTCTCTGACAGTTCGCAGACACCCAGACAAATTGTTCGTGGTACTCACGTCAATGTAACTTGCGTTAATGTAGTCAGAGCCTTCGATGCCGCGAGTAGATATCAACTGCACTCTTGTTGATTCGTCTGTTGCAAAGAAAAGAAGAAAAGAAGAAAAGCATTAGGGCTGCACTCAACACAGGCAAGTATTTATTGCAACTCGAGTTGTTTTACGACGAAAATGTTTTCTTTCTCTCTTTTTTCTCCTTAAATCCCTGATGCAAGGCAAAACGAGAGCGTCTACAGACAGAGAAGACTAACGTGGGTTGGAAGAAACGATTTTTTTGAAGATCATTGAATTGTTGAGGGAGTTGTTATTAGCGAAGCTTAAGCTTCGCCTAAAAGTAACCGTTTTTATTTTGGCTTGAATTGTCATCCATTGCAGCTTTTCTTCTTCCTCGTGTATCTCATGAGAAATGTTGCTACAATAATTGGTCTTCAAAATTTTCACCAGAGTGGAGGTGATTTTTGAAAGATATTGAAATAAAAGGAAGTAATGCAGGCTTTTAATGAAAACATTGACCTATCGGTGAAGGATAAAAATTACTTTACCAGCCTGAGCTAGTCTCTTACATGGTAAAATGTTGGCCAATCTGTTTTTTGATCTGTTATGTGTCAGACTTCCTGTTCCCTGCTTCAGTCGGCGAGCTTGATTTGGGTTACTAAGCTTTCTGAATTCCTCCGCTAAACCGGCCGTTCCGCCTTCCGAAGGTTCTGTGAGTCGCTTAATGTGTTGCACAAGGTTCCTCGCATGAACTTCTGTATTGCCGCAGGATACTGCTTCAAGGAGTGCGTCGTGAATAAAGATGTATTGTTCCTTAAAAAATATAAGGGTAACATTAAGGAATAAAGGACTTTTTCCGTATTTACATCGCTTTATCTTATCACGTGTGGGGTTATAATAATTTTAAATAGTTATGCAAACTCGACAAG